GAAAGAATCTGGTTTGGTAAACAAGCAAAGGTTTGCATTTGTGAATACCTCACCAGTACAAATATAACACAATAAAGCAGTAATAGTCCCAAGAGTCCCATGAAAACAAAAGAAACAAATACAGAGATGGACATTCTTCCATTTGTTTGTACCTACAATCCTAATAACTGTACACTTATGCCCATTATAAAATCTTCCAGTTTTGTATAAAAGTGATGTTATGAAAAGAGTCAGTGTAACAAAATGTCAAACACCTTAATGTGGAACTTGTTCAATCATAACTGAAGACTGCAAATTTACATTTTGTGAAGGCAAACTATTTACTGTCAAAACCACCATGAACTGCCGCAGCAAAAATGTTATATATGTTTTATTTGTTTTCTGTTGGGCAAATCCATTAAGCAGACGCAGGTGACAGCATGTAGTTAATCTGTGGACTTGACCATAACATGTGTTGTTTTAAGCTGTAGTTCTTATGGGAAGTAGTTCTTATGGGAGGACACCGTTCCAAAAAGGAATTAGAATAGTTTTATACCTTCGCAATTAATAGTAATAAGGGCACCTAGGTAGTGCTGAACTCCACGCCGTACGGGCATGCTCTTAGCGCATAAAACAAAATTTCCTCTATTATCCCAGATACCCTGCCTGTGTGGCGCTAGGTCATTATAAGACTTATACCATTGAGTACCCATTCTCTGCTGGATGAACAGAGGCAATATTGAACAAATTAACTTGCATGAAGTGATTCAATCGACACAAAGACGTGTATAATAAAATATGTATATTTGTGTACAGATGACAAAGTATAACACCTGAATCACAGTACAGTTTCTCATGACAACCTGTCACCCCAAGCTGGATCCTACTGTTCCTATGTGAAATGAAGCCATGTCACCAAGGTGAAGGCCATGACGCCACAATAAATTTGTAATAATTTGTCTGAAATGACACTGGTCAACTGTATTTATTACACTAAATTCATTGGTTATTTCAGCCTACAAACTGAAGAAAACTGAACAATGATTTGGATAATGATAGATTTTCACCCGGAGTGAAAACATGAGTAACACGGCTTCGGTGTTTTAAATATTTATCGATTTGTATGAAAATCAGAAATCAATGTCTTTTCATTAAAGGTTTTTGTACATAATAAATTCATATGAAATCCGGAGAAGCAGATTATATTTCTGACACAACACTCGAGTAGGAATGTGTTATGAGAATAGATAATGACGTTACATTAAAGGTTATAAACATAACTGAATTGATGTGAAATCTTTGGAATAAGATCATTGTTTCAAACACCAAATTCTTTCTCTGTATATCTATTCTACACTGTATAACATACAAACAAACTGTATAAAGTCTGGTCACATACAAAGCTTGTTTAACATTACATTTGTAATATACTGACCAGCAATAAAAACTCAGAATTCATGAAAATTATACTTTTTTAGCATAAGTTTGGACATGATACTGGACACAATTGTTTTGATTTCTTGAATTCCGTTTCTTTTGCTGGTCAGTATATAAAGATCACGATAACAGGATAACAATGGTTCATACTTTCCTCTTTACAGTTTGTTTCAGGGAGCATCAATTGGACCTCGAAGAGGTTGGTGGATTTTATAAAATGAATACAGCTGTATGTGTGATGAATGTATAACTTGTTTAGTCACTATATTGCTGAAATAGATGACACGAAATCTTAACTCTCTCACACTAGAAAGATAATACTTGTCATGCACCTTAATTCACTGCATCCCCTCAGCTATTGAGGATGTAAGGATGAGGTTGATTCATTGACTCATCGGGCATTTATCTAACGGGTGGAGACAATGTGTCAATCGTTCACCTCAATCAAACATATCGCGCAAGTCAAAGGTTTACTCCCATAAGAACTACATCCCATTTGAACTCCATCCCAAAATAACTACAGGGACTAATTAGGGGTTAATTATCTGAGTAGAGGCACCCCCATGGCATGTAATGAGCACAGCCCATCAGCTCTCCCAGAACTACAGACCAGTAACTATGTTGTTGTAAAGGAGAAGAGAGAAGGGTATGCTGTAGTTAGTGAATGTTCTTGTATTCATATGACAGAAAAAAACAAGCCAAACTTAGTATATTAGAGTAAAGGTAAAGGTATATTGGTGAAAAGGTGAAATACAAACGAAATAGTTTTTAAGTTAAAATAGTATTGGTTTAAACATATTTTTATTCTTGAAAGAATCTGGTTTGGTAAACAAGCAAAGGTTTGCATTTGTGAATACCTCACCAGTACAAATATAACACAATAAAGCAGTAATAGTCCCAAGAGTCCCATGAAAACAAAAAGAGAAACAAATACAGAGATGGACATTCTTCCATTTGTTTGTACCTCACAATCCTAATAACTGTACACTTATGCCCATTATAAAATCTTCCAGTTTTGTATAAAAGTGATGTTATGAAAAGAGTCAGTGTAACAAAATGTCAAACACCTTAATGTGGAACTTGTTCAATCATAACTGAAGACTGCAAATTTACATTTTGTGAAGGCAAACTATTTACTGTCAAAACCACCATGAACTGCCGCAGCAAAAATGTTATGTATGTTTTATTTGTTTTCTGTTGGGCAAATCCATTAGGCAGATGCAGGTGACAGCATGTAGTTAATCTGAGCACTGAACCATAACATGTGTTGTTTTAAGCTGTAGTTCTTATGGGATGTAGTTCTTATGGGAGGACACCGTTCCAATAAGGAATTAGAATGGACAGAAGTTTTATACCTTCGCAATTAATAGTAATAAGGGCACCTAGGTAGTGTTGAACTCCACGCCGGCGCATAAAACAAAATCTCCTCTATTATCCCAGATACCCTGCCTGTGTGGCGTTAGGTCATTATATGACTTAAACCATTGAGTACCCATTCTCTGCTGGATGAACAGAGGCAATATTGAACAAACTAACTTGCATGAAGTGATTCAATCGACACAAAGACGTGTATAATAAAATATGTATATTTGTGTACAGATGACAAAGTATAACACCTGAATCACAGTACAGTTTCTCATGACAACCTGTCACCCCAAGCTGGATCCTACTGTTCCTATGTGAAATGAAGCCATATCACCAAGGTGAAGGCCATGACGCCACAATAAATTTGTAATAATTTGTCTGAAATGACACTGGTCAGCTGTATTTATTACACTAAATTCATTGGTTATTTCAGCCTACAAACTGAAGAAAACTGAACAATGATTTGGATAATGATAGATTTTCACCCCGAGTGAAAACATGAGTAACACGGCTTCGGTGTTTTAAATATTTATCGATTTGTATGAAAATCAGAAATCAATGTCTTTTCATTAAAGGTTTTGTACATAATAAATTCATATGAAATCCGGAGAAGCAGATTATATTTCTGACACAACACTAGAGTAGGAATGTGTTATGAGAATAGATAATGACGTTACATTAAAGGTTATAAACATAACTGATGATGTGGAATCTTTGGAATAAGATCATTGTTTCAAACACCAAATTCTTTCTCTGTATATCTATTCACACTGTATAACATACAAACAAACTGTATAAAGTCTGGTCACATACAAAGCTTATTTAACATTACATTTGTAATATACTGACCAGCAATAAAAACTCAGAATTCATGAAAATTATACTTTTTTAGCATAAGTTTGGACATGATACTGGACACAATTGTTTTGATTTCTTGAATTCCGTTTCTTTTGCTGGTCAGTATATAAAGATCACGATAACAGGATAACAATGGTTCATACTTTCCTCTTTACAGTTTGTTTCAGGGAGCATCAATTGGACCTCGAAGAGGTTGGTGGATTTTATAAAATGAATACTTTGTTCAATAATATGCCCCAAATGAATAGATTATTCGTCCTTATGTAAAATGGTGACAGTGAAAACATTGGTGGTGCTTAGGAAATATCTTTTGTTGGTTACGACTCCGACAAAAATACCTTCTCGCATACACGTACAGACACCGCCTTCAATACACATTAAATGAATGCTCCCTCAAACATGTACAATGTATATGAACGATGTTGAACGAAAGTTATTTATCTTTTGACTAATTGATTATTAATAAACTTTCAATCAATTGCTAAATACATCACCGACCGAAACATTTGGTTGTGTCTCAACACGAAGTAACATTAAGAAATGACCTAAATACTACTGTTTGTTCTATCCAACTGGCATTCCGCAATATTCCAGCAATGACCTAAATACTGTCTGTTCTTTTCACCACTGCATCCTGCAATATTCCAGCAATGACCTAAATACTACCGTTTGTTTCATTAACGATGCATCCCGCAATATTCCAGCAATGACCTAAATACTACTGTTTGTTTCATTAACGATGCATCCCGCAATATTCCAGCAATGACCTAAATACTACTGTTTGTTTCATTAACGATGCATCCCGCAATATTCCAGCAATGACCTAAATACTACTGGTTTTTTTCATTAACGATGCATCCCGCAATATTCCAGCAATGGCCTAAATACTACTGTTTATTCTATCAACGATGCATCCCGCAATATTCCAGCAATGACCTAAATACTACTGTTTGTTTCATTAACGATGCATCCCGCATTATTCCAGCAATGGCCTAAATACTACTGTTTGTTTCATTAACGATGCATCCGGCATTATTCCAGCAATGGCCTAAATACTACTGTTTGTTTCATTAACGATGCATCCCGCAATATTCCAGCAATGACCTAAATACTACTGTTTGTTTCATTAACGATGCATCCCGCAATATTCCAGCAATGGCCTAAATACTACTGTTTATTCTATCAACGATGCATCCCACAATATTCCAGCAATGACCTAAATACTACTGTTTGTTTCATTAACGATGCATCCCGCAATATTCAAGCAATGGCCTACATACTACTGTTTGTTCTATATTACAGCTATATGACTGCGGCCTATGAACAATCTTTCACACCGCATTTCACCAGACAAAAACTGGTTCAGTTGTAGGAATTATTTATTCATGAATAATATGGCCACGATGGTGACCAGAATGCCTACACTTGAAGTCATCATATTGGCTGCTGATGTTGGTTTTGGACATTCCTTCTCGCCTTCGGCCTTAGGCTTTTCAGTTGGAGTGTTGATCATTGGCGTCGTTGGTTTGAAGAATCCGTTGTCTTGGATCAGACTACGGTAGTACACTGACGAAGATTTAGGATGACGTGCACGGCTAGGGTCGCTGAAGTTGACGTAGTAGAGGCCGTAGGCAGCTGTGTAGCCGAAGTTCCACTCGAAGCTGTCGATGAGGGAGTAGACCATGTAGCCACGGACGTCAACGTCATCGAGCTGTATTGCTGGAACACGCAACAATTCACAAAACGTATTTAAATTTTCAATGAATTTACATTATGTGGAAGTTGGGTTTAGATGGTGTTTAGGATGTGCGAAGATGGCTAATGTCATGCTTTGCTTGTTTGTTGTCAACGCTGCACTCAGCAATTTGCCAGTTCCCTTGCGGCGGTCTGTACATAATCGAGTCTGGAAAGACAGTCCAGTGATCAACAACATGAGCATTGATCTACCCAATTGGATACGATGACATGTGTCAACCAAGTCAACGAGTCTGAACACCCGAACAGCTAATAGCATTTGTTCAGACCCAAAACATGCTGAGATCGAAACATGTTTCGTGTGTGTTTTTTGTCAACAGTGAATCGTGGCATGGTCGTATCGTGTACCATCTTTATTGTAATAACACAACAAAATTATATGAATTATGCAATGCATTAATATCAAGATCGACCTACGGGTTAAGCTGAGACCAGATGTAATTTCTACCAAGCAATCATTTCGTTCAGTATTTCATGAGTGGGTGAGTGAGTTTATTTTTACGCCGCCTTTAGCAATATTCTAGCAATATTGTGGCGGGGTACACCAGAAATGGGTTTCACATATTGTGCCAATGTGGGGACTGGAACCCGGATCTTCGAGGTGACGAGCGGGCGCCTTAACCACTTGGCTACTCCACCGTCCCCAAAGTGTTTTATAAGTGAGTACTATGATTACAACATGTGCTAAGCAGACATATGTCGAGAACATATTGGGCATCATTTTTTTTCATATGTTTCACGTAGCCACGAGGTTATGAACATGGGTCAGTCGGTCGGGGAAAAAAATTAAAAAGAAAACATTATTTGAAGAATGTCCTTAATTCTCATTTATTGCAATACTTATTACAATTTCTCGCGTTCCTTGGACTTGTGGCAGCGACTGATAAACTTATTATATGACAAAGCGATACGTTTAGGTTCGAGTCGGCGGTGTTGGAATGAAAAGAAAGGTGTTTTTTTTTTTTTTTTTTTTTTTGTTTTTGTTTTGTTGTTTGTTTTTGTTTTGTTTTTGTTTTTGTTTTTGGGGGGGGCAATCATCACAAGTCATGTGAATCTGTTCACCCAGCATGGACGAGTTGCGTGGATATATGCGCTATATAAATATTCTATAATATTATCTACATTGTCATATATTAAAAGCTAAAGTGCTTGAAAGTGAGTGATACTTTTTGTACTTGCTAGTCCTATCTTCTCACAAACTAAGCCCCCAAAATATGTGTTACGTTTCTGATATCAGCAATCTCAAAATGAGTTTTATATAAATATATTTAGGGATTCTTTCTTTTCAATATGCTGCGCATACAAAGTATCTCACGGTAAGGGCCGGTGGTGAAGTGGAGTGGTTAAAGCCTTCGCTCGTCACGCTGAAGACCCGGGTTCGATTCCCCACATGGGTACAATGTGTGAAGCCCATTTCTGGTGTCCCCGCTGTGATATTGCTGGAATATTGCTAAATGCGGCGAAAAACTAAACTCACTCATCTTATTTCGCAGGCCAAGTCGTACTACTTTTCAATCTCGTGGTCCCGAATCTTACCGAAAGGAACGTCAGAAGTCGAAGTTACCTTTCAATACTTCATTAGTGTGGGACTTGATGTACTGCACTCTGTCCGTATCTTGAATTGTCCCTGGCTTGTCCCCCACGCCGTTACTGGTAACGTAGACAGGGATGTTGCCATACCGCTGTCTGAACCGTCTCAGTATCATCCTCAGTCCCTTGGGGTTCACATCAGTCGAAGGGGAACCAGTTCTGTATACAATATGAATTCGTGTGAGTAGCTGAACGTTATGGATGCACGATGTCAACGTTTTGGCAGAGATGCAAGTGACTGTGGTCAATAGCTGCTGTTGAATTTAAAGAAAGACATACGTCCTGACAAGACAACACCTGGACTGAGAGGTATGCTTTTCAGTCAACATGGATTAATGCATACTGGGGATGGGGGTGGGGGATGGGTCATTATGAACAGATATTTTGTCCAGACTGGGAAAGGAACATTTTTTTTTCATTTATTTATTAATCTATTTATTTATTAATTTTATTCATTTATTTATATATTTTTATTATTATTATTATATTTTTATATATTTTTCTTTTTTTTTTGGGGGGAGGGATGGGCGTGGGGCTCGAGTTATTCCCCAAAAGATGATTAATATTAAGTTGAGATTTAAATTAAAATTAAACTTGAAATTAAAATTATTCGGTTCAACTTTGCACAGATGAAATGTGCAAAAATACATATCGGGTAGCTGCCTTTTCCTTCCAAAAATATATCTATCTATCCCTACAACTAATATAAGTTCACTTACTCGGTGACAGCCCTGTCATCAAGGATAGATGGCGAGGCGGAGACGTTGTGACGTCGCTCCTGGACAAAGCTGGATGAGAGGTAGCTGATGCCAAAGAAGTCCGCCGAACCTGAAAAATGATGTACACAGATTGTATCATGTAATATTAACTCGAAAGAGGACTTCAGATCGAATTTTTTTTATTTAACAAGATGGCTGTCAAGAAGTCACGGCGCCTCAGCAGCCATACTGACGTGGCGAACGGTTGAATATAAAATGAAGCACAGATGAGGGAATGCGAATTCAGAACATATACTAAGCAGCAAAAGAAACGTCAGTTTGGAATTTTCCTTCGCAGAAACGGATAACTATAAACTCATTTAATGTTTTGTTTGTATATTTTTTAACAACATCTTCAACTTTACCTGAGCAAAGACATTCCTTCCCGAGGGAAAACATCCTTACTTCTTAATAATGCCCGAGGGTCATGCTTTATCCAACTTATAAACCGACCGAAGATATACTTTAGATATGATTTCAATATTTGGTATTTACTGTTGAAATCAACTGGGATGAGACTGGCAGCCGACACCTTGCCTTGCACGCGCAATGCACGTGCTCTGCACGCGCGCTGCCCGCACAACCCGTCTTGGGAGGATCACACGGTTCATGCTGACAAACAATCTCATTCTTCACAGCGATCCTTCGTAGCCTAGTGGATAAAACCACCAAGCTAGTAAGCGAAGGGTTGCGGGTTCGAAACCAGATATCGGCACTATATGTTGGAAGTTTTCAATAATGTCATATTTTACGATCGCATTCAGTGATAGCAGGACAAAGTTATATCAATTTTCAAAACAAGTAATAATTCAAAGTCAAGGGTTATTCCTCAGAAAATCCCTGGGATGCGGGCAATTCTGTAGAACATCCATGGCGAATGTGCCTGTAGAGGTTTACTCTGTAAAAGAGTGACGTCACCGTCGGTTTATAACTCGGGTTTATGCCCTCTGTGGCACTCGGCAAATTAATGGATCTGGGTCAAGATAACCTGTGTGGTACGCAGTGTGTTTCTTATGTCCATGTGTGCAGCCGTAACGTAAGTTTAAAGATTAAAGGGGTTTTTTTTAAAATCAAAAACAAAAAAGAGCGTTGTTAAAACGACCGTAGTTAGACTTACGCCGATAAATCAGTATTTCGATCTTGTTTCAACTTCATTATATTAGTGATGGCAGTCACATGGATTTGTCACATTACATCCCATTTTAAGTGATTTTCCCAATATCATTATATATTAATTAAAAATAATTGCTTATTAATGTAGCGCCTTTTCTCGTCATTGAAAGTCTGCTCAAAGTAAGTGAGTGAGTGAGTATGGCTTAACGCCGCTTTTAGCAATATTCCAGCAATATCTCGGAGGCGGACACCAGTTTAATGACTTCACACATTGTACCTATGTGGGGAATTGAACCCGGGTCTCCAGCGTGACGAGCGAACGCTTTAACCACTAGGCTAACCCACCGCCTCTCTGCTCAAAGGCGCTTTTGAGGAAAGACAGCTTGGTCACACAAGTCCTGTTTTAACGTAAACATCTAAAAAGGTGTAGAGTGCATTATTATATTAAGAGATTAATATTGAATCAGCAGATTTTGTATTCTCCCTGTATGCCTATTGTAATGTGTGTCCCTTCACCTCTGATCATGTTCTTCTCCGGCTCTGTAAATACCGGGAGACGGGATTGGTTCAGATTCTGTTCCCTGCTTCTGAGGGACACCGCTCTCTTCATGACGTCAGGGTATTCCCCGTCCAACAGCACTGGGTCAACGAACCAATCACAGTCGAAGGCAAACTTCCGGTCTTGAGCGGCCCAATCACCAGGATCCCTTTCCGTCTTTGGTATTGCCCAAGGATAGAACACTGCAAGTCCTACTTTTCCTAGAAAGTAGCAACACCTACATGTATACAGTGCTAAATTTTGACAGGAGGACGTTAGTGAGTCAAAGGTGCACCTTGGCATCGCGTCAATTGCATAAGAGTGGGTAAGTTTAGTTTTACGCCGCACTCAGCAATATTCAAGCTATATGGCGGCGGTCTGTAAGTAATCGAGTCTGGACTAGACAATCCATTGATCAACAGCATTAGCATCGATCTACACAATTGGGAATCGATGACATGTGTCAACAAAGTCAGCGAGCCTGACCACCCGATCCCGTTAGTCGCCTCTTACGACAAGCATGGGTTACTGAAGATCAATATTCTAACCCGGATCTCCACGGGTCCAATTGTAGAAGAAGAAGGAAGAAAAAGGTAATTACAGTGACGGAGACTGACTGAGTGTTGGTTTTACGCCGCTTTTAGCAATATTCCAGCAACATCACGGCGGGGGACACCAGAAATGGGCTTCACACATTGTACCCATGTGGGGATTCGAACCCGGGTCCTCGGCGTGACGAGCCAACGCTTTAACCACTAGGCTACCCCACCGCCCCTACAGTGACGGAGAAGATATACATGTGTATCATGTAATTCTAATGTATGCTTGTAAGAGAAGACAACAGGATCGGGTGGTCAGGCTCGCTGACATGGTTGACACATGTCATCCCAATTGAGTAAATCGGTGGTTATGCTGTTGATCACTGGATTGTCTGGTCCAGACTCGATTATTTACAGATCGCCGTCATAAAGCGGGATAATTGCGGAGTGCGGCGCAAAACAACAAACAAACATGTTACTGACACAATGCTTCGCTGGATCATTAAACTTCTAGATTGACGCAAACGAGTATTGTCGAGTTGTTTTACCATTTTGAATGTCCTTAAATTCATTCTGGTAGATTCTGTATGATGTAGCATGCGCCTTGATCATGTTGTGAGCGGCCTTGTAACCTTGATCTTTGACCCCGGGAGCATGCAGACCCAGCTCGTATCCCATCAGAGCTAAGACATTAGGTTCATTTTGGGTAACCCATGTTTTCACCTAAAACAGAACCTCAATTGTCATTACGAACAGGGGAGTAAATAACCACGCACAAATTGAACTGATTAACTGATACAAACACATGAACTACCACGGACGATATATACATGTATGTATTAATGACATTCAGTTGCAAATATTGAGATCATAAAAAAAAGACATTTAATTCAAGGTTTCAACATTACACACATAAACTCAAATAATGAGTGATCTTGCGGCGCCGTTAGAAATACACCTACAGTATCACGGCGCGGAACTTAACAAATGGGTTTTACAAACTGTTCTTGTATCAGATTCGAACCTGAACTATAACATGACTAGTGAACACTTTAACCGCTAAGCTACGCATAGCACCTACTTGTGGGTATTACATACTTCAGCATATTTTCTTATGAAACATGTCAACATATACTGAGGGAAAAAAATAAGGGATCACATGACAGCACTAGTGTTCCTATAGTTTTTGCCAGGTTTCTCTACAAGCTGTGCGATACAAAGCTTGTGAAGAAACCTTGGAACAAACTTAGGGATAACTTGTGCTTTCATGTCATCTCTTATTTTCCCCCTCAGTATATATATAATTATTGTAGAATGTGTAATATGTAAGAGAATGTATCACGCTGTGATGGAATATAGGTCATTATAAACCAACAGTGACGTCACTCTGTTGTTCTTAGGGGACACCTTTTCTCGTAATATCCCTCAAATCTGATACAATCTCGCTTCCTCGGGCAATTATCTTAATAACTCCCCTGTGCCCCGGGGATTATCTTAATAACGTTCCTCTGCCCGGGGAATTCTGAGGAACAGCCCTTGACTTTGACTTATTACTTGTTTTGAAGATTGATATGACTTTGTCTTGCCATCACTGAGTGCGATCTTAAAATATGACATTATTGACAATTTCCAACATGTAGTACCGACACCCGGTGTCGAACCCTCAACCCTTCGCTTACCAGCTTGGCGGTTTTATCCACTAGGCTACGGTGAATCGCTGTGAAGAATGACATTGTTTGTCGGTATGAACCGTGTGTTCCTCGCATGATGCGTAGTGCGGGCAGGGCACAGGTAGCGCGTGCGGAGCACGTGCATTGCGAGGCGTCGGCTGCCAGTCTCATCCCAGTTGATTTCAACAGTAAATACCAAATATTGAAATTATATCTAAAGTATATCTTCGGTCGGTTTATAGTGCTTCCGGCCCTTGAGCATTTCCCGCGGGAAGCGGGCTTACTTTTCAATAATGCCCGCGGGTCATGGTATATCCTACACGTATTACCTTATCCCCGAAGTTCTGAAAGCATATTCTGGAGTAGTTCCCGAAGGCTTCCACTATTTTGTCATCCAGCCAACCGTCTGTAATGGCCGCCGGCGTGTCCCACTGGTGTAGGGACACAATTGGTTCAATCTGAGCATCAGCCAGAGCCAACAGCAGCTCGTTGTAATAGTTGATACCATCTTGGTTAATTTCTTCTGACGTTCCTTTCGGTAAGATTCGGGACCACGAGAGTGAAAAGTAGTACGACTTGGCCTGCGAAGTAAGATGTGTGAGTGAGTGAGTGAGTTTTATGCCACTTTTAGCAATATTCCAGCGCTATCACGGTGGTGAACACCAGAAACAGGCTTCACACATTGTACCCATGTGGGGAATCGAACCCGGGTCTTCGGCGTGACGGGTCATTAGGCTACCCAAACGCCCCTGAAGTAACTTAGATGGTCAGCTGGTGGTACACACCTCTCTTGGACAGTTCACCAATATAAAAGCGGAAAGCACCAGAAACTAGCGTGGACAGAAGGACCCAGTTTTTTGGCACGATGAGTGAAGGATTTAAAAAATAACCCTTAAGCTACCCGACGGCAACAGTTGTGTACATCGTCAGTGCATAAGAAAACCCAGTCCTGACTATCCTCAGAAACATATTCCATCTGTTACAATATATTTAGTGAGTGAGTATGGTTTTGCGCCGCTTTTAGCAATATTTCAGCAATATCACGGCTGGGGACACCAGGAATGGCCTTCACATATTGTACCCGTGTTGATATTTGAACCCAGGTCTTCTGCGCGACGTGCGGACGGTTTAACCACTAGGTACACCAACGCCCCACAATATATTCAGCACTATGACTACGGTTATAACGAACTAAAAGGGACCAGTACTATCAACTACCGTTATAACGAAATGAAAGGGACCAGCACTATAACTACCGTTATGACGAACTCAAAGGGACCAGTACTATAACTACCGTTATAACGAACTCAAAGGGACCAGTACTATAACTACCGTTATGACGAACTGAAAGGGACCAGTACTATCAACTACCGTTATGGCGAACTGAAAGGGACCAGTACTATCAACTACCGTTATAACGAACACAAAGGGACCACTACTATCAACTACCGTTATAACGAACTCAAAGGGATCAGCACTATAACTACCGTTATAACGAACTCAAAGGGACCAGTATTATCAACTACCGTTATAATGAATTCAAAGGGACCGGCATTATCAACTACCGTTATAATGAATTCAAAGGGACCAGTATTATCAACTACCGTTATAACGAACTCAAAGGGACCGGTATTATCAACTATCGTTATAACGAATTCAAAGGGACCAGTACTATCAACTACCGTTATAACGAAATGAAAGGGACCAGCACTATAACTACCGTTATAACGAACTAAAAGGGACCACTACTATCAACTACCGTTATAACGAACTCAAAGGGACCAGCACTATAACTACCGTTATGACGAACTCAAAGGGACCACTACTATCAACTACCGTTATAACGAACACAAAGGGACGAGTATTATCAACTACCGTTATAACGAACTCAAAGGGACCAGTACTATCAACTACCGTTATAACGAACTCAAAGGGACCAGTACTATAACTACCGTTATAACGAACTCAAAGGGACCAGTACTATCAACTACCGTTATAACGAACTCAAAGGGACCAGTACTATCAACTACCGTTATAACGAACTCAAAGGGACCAGTACTATAACTACCGTTATAACGAACTCAAAGGGACCAGTACTATCAACTACCGTTATAACGAACACAAAGGGACGAGTATTATCAACTACCGTTATAACGAACTGAAAAGGACCAGTACTATCAACTACCGTTATAACGAACTCAAAGGGACCAGCACTATAACTACCGTTATAACGAACTCAAAGGGACCAGTACTATCAACTACCGTTATAACGAACTGAAAAGGACCAGTACTATCAACTACCGTTATAACGAACTCAATGGAACCAGTACTATCAACTACCGTTATAACGAACTCAAAGGGACCAGTACTATCAACTACCGTTATAACGAACTCAAAGGGACCAGTACTATCAACTACCGTTATAACGAACTGAAAAGGACCAGTACTATCAACTACCGTTATAACGAACTCAATGGAACCAGTACTATCAACTACCGTTATAACGAACTCAAAGGGACCAGTACTATAACTACCGTTATAACGAACTCAAAGGGACCAGTACTATCAACTACCGTTATAACGAACACAAAGGGACCAGTATTATCAACTACCGTTATAACGAACTCAAAGGGACCAGTATTATCAACTACCGTTATAACGAACTGAAAGGGACCGGTATTATCAACTACCGTTATAACGAATTCAAAGGGACCAGTACTATCAACTACCGCCATAACGAATTCAAAGGGATCAGCACTATAACTACCGTTGTAACGAACTCAATGGAACCAGTACTATCAACTACCGTTATAACGAACTCAATGGAACCAGAACTACCAACTACGGTTATAACGAGGGACCCTCAATATTCGTTTGTTATAACTACTTCGTTTGTGCTACTTATTTGGACTAAAATATACAGCACGTTCTCCGACCCAAAAACAGTTTGTTATATCCGTCATTTCGTCATAAGCACGTTCGTTATAAACGTAGTTACTATACTTGAGTTGCAAGAATTCGAGTTTGAACAAAGTCCTCGCTTCACAAAGAGATTGTGACGCTACGAATATTCCATGCTTTAACACAGGGTTAAGAAAGTTGAAGGTTAATGGTATTCTCACCCCCATGTTCTTGAGCGCACCAACATCCTCGAGATAATGTGTGAAAGACATGGCTGCCTTATCTGCTGTCTGGTTAAACAGGGTCCTTCCAGGCGTCCTCAGGTATACGTCCCAGCTGCTGGGTCCTCGTCCTGTGAATATCAGGAGGACATGGTGGATGTGGTATCAGACATCACATACTGAATTCTCTGCATATTACACTTTCATGTTTGGTGAGTTAGGAATATTAAATAGAGACGTATAATGTGTATTATAATGTTTGAAAAATATAAAAGCTATTTTTTAATGCCTAGGGGTTGACACTCTACAAACATAATCATGCTTACATGAAAAAAGTATTTTCAACGGTCACTATTATGATTGCAATAACTAAAACGATACATATGTCATTGGTATATATGTTCCGTGCCAAAGACAATGTAAGCTTGAGTAGATGGTTTGTATTCAAGAAAAAAGCTATTGCGAGAAAATATAATATATGCTAGTCGTGTAACTGCCATTTCCTTGTACTTCATAAACTTGGACATCAGTGAAATAAGATACGTTTGATAGGAGGCTGGAACGTGAGGATATACCTTCCGTATCAACAGCGCCTTCTATCTGATAAGCGGTTGTAGCCGCTCCCCATTCAAAGTCAGCAGGGAAGTCTTCAAGGAGGACGTCGTTCTCGTATAGCATTGGTTTTCTGTTAGGGTCCGTCAACGCGCCTGGCTTGAAACCATTGTCTTCAAAGACCTTCAAATGCATGGTTAAACGATAAACCAAGGAGGGGATTAATCTACGTTCTGCCATGTTTCAAAATGGCGAGTCTGACACTAAATTTTTCAGAAGGAATCGTCAGCTGAATATTATGTGGGTTTGTTTTGTAAAGCCATGAATAGCGGCCACATTGTAGTTCCGACATTCGTGGGTATTGTTGGTTAATTTTGATTAACCTGTGGTGAGATTGTGTCTGTCGTGCTCGGCGAAATGGATTGAGCGGACAATCTCGGAGATTGATATGACTGCGTGTCATCCCATTCCACTTTTGTGTAGAATATCAGGTATTATTGTTGAACATTGACTTCTTTGATTGGCATTCTAGAAGTTGGGTAGATGAAGAATGAGAACTATTTTTATGCATATACAACTTCTTTATTCTATATAGGCGACGTTTCACCATAGATTCTAATGTCGTTGTCAAGCAAGTGGTACATGGGAAGTATATTTGGTGATATAATAATAAAATTAAAAAATAAATAATATATACATGAAATGTTTGTACAATAGACTGGGGATGAGGCGAAAATGAGTTGTTTATACAATAGAAGAGGTTGATAACACTGGACAGCAAGCAGCCCCCTTCACCATCAGCCTCCCGTTCATTGGACCAACTAGCCATCACACCCGACGAATCCTCAAACAGCAAGACAACACTGATGTCATCTTCCAAAGAGGCAACACTATACAGAACCTCCTGCAGGCCACAGGCAGACGCACCCCGGCAAAGAAGCCAGATCCCGCAGGTGTCGTCTACCAGATAGAATGCGACTGCGGCGAACCCTATATTGGTGAAACATCAAGACCAGTCACCATTAGGATCAAAGAACACCAGGCCTCAGTAAGAAACAAAGGCTCTAAATACGCCATAACCGACCATCTTAAAGCCAACCCAAACCACAACATCAGTTGGAGCACCACCAAAGACATCGAGAGGAACCAGCCTGATTTCAAAACCCGAAAACTACTTGATGCTGTCCACATAAAGATGTGGAAGTCGCGGTAACTGAGCGGGTTAGGCGGCTGACTTTGTGTGCTGGCGATTAGATGCCTGACTCTGAGGGTGTGAGTTCGAATCCCGGATCGGGCTCAACTCCAAAAAGTACTAGAATTTGTACTTTAGTAAGAAAGTGTAATCCCAAATATAACATATGTTATAAAGAAGATTTGCCCAGCCATCAACAGAGATGAAGGGTATTTCATGACCAAGGACTATCATCACTTACTCAGTTAATTTCATGTAAACTTACTCAACCATTGTACATTATCCATTATCTTACCTCACACATAAATGTCGCTTTCTGATTGGCTGAGTGCTCTTCTATTATTTTCAATGTACCCCGCTTACAAGCGAGTAACATTTCAATGTACCCCGCTGTCAATAGCAACTCATTTGGTACTTCGTGGTAGTAATTCTTTATCTCGAATAACGTTGAATCACGTATGATGTACGGAAAGTACCGATGTTTTGCGAATGCAAATCGATGGAAGGGAGATAACTCTTAATCTGTTTTTCTTGTCAGCAAATTCTAGCGATGGCTACAAAAAGAGATTCGTACCCGTGCTTCAAACAATTCAAAATTAACATTAAGGTGTTCGGTAAAATAAATATGTTGTTCACTGGTCCCTCGGGGCCTATGGGTTGATGTACCCTCGATGGTTTTTTTTATGTTTCCCTCGCCCTTCGGGCTCAGGGAACATAAACAAACATCTAGAGTACATCAACCCATATCCCCCTCGTGACCAGTGAACAACTTATATTGTGTAACACTGTACCTTATCCATTGTGCAAACATCACTTCACTACTGGCTTCCCAACAGTCCCTTTATCACCTATGTAAACAGCCTATGTACATCATTCCCTACTGGCTGCCCATCAATATCCTTAATCTCTTATGTATACAACCAAGTACATGTTCTTTATTGGCTTCCTGTGTTATCAACCTCTTCTATTGTATAAACTACTCATTTTCGCCTCATCCCTCATCTATTGTACAAACATCTCATGTATATATATCACCCAAATTACTTCCCATGTACCACTTGCTTGACAACGACATTAGAATCTATGTCGAAACGACGCCTATATAGAATAAAGAAGTTGTATATCCATAAAAGTAGTCCCCATTCTTCATTATTGGTGAACATTATTTAATGGCGATGAGCCATGTAACTATTCAGCTATCCTATACATACGTGTCGTAGGAAGGCCGCAGATGCTTTTGGTTTTCTTGTCCTCTCTGGACTGTTAAAGTCAACATAGTGTGTTCCGAATCTTTCCGAGTAGCCACGATCCCACTCGAAGTTGTCTAGTAGTGACCATGCTGTATATCCCTTCACGTTCACCTTGTCATAGTCGATAGCTGTGAACAGATCGTGCTTATTAAATATCAGTGACTGAGTTTAGCTTTACGTCGCATTCAGCAATAGTCCAGCTATATGGCGGCGGTCTGTAAATAATCGAGTCTGGACCAGACAATCCAGTGATCACAACACCATCGATCTACGCAATTGGGATACGATGACATGTGTCAACCAAGTCAGCGAACCTGACCACAGGATCCCGTTAGTCGCCTTTTACGACAAGCATGAGTTGCTGAAGATCAATTCTAACCCGAATCTTCACGGGTCAAATATCAATGAGTGTATTAAGACTAATGCAGCGTTGACCAGTATTAGCATATCCCGACGTGTCAGCTCAATGTGGTAGGAAGCCCGAAGTTATGCAGATATTAGACGTTTACCACCTCATATATTTTTCTGAAAAACCTAGAAACATAATTCCAACCCACAACAACTGATTTTGATGTATCCAAGGGACGTAACTCTGTATAGCTAATTGCGGCGCCTCAGACACCAGTGTTCCCTGGTTAAGACTTGGAAACAAATATTTATTTGTTTTAAAGCAAAATGGGACAGTGCACAAACTATAACATGGTGTTATGATAAACATCACAGATAATGTACGAATATCAAATAATATGTATATTTAGTATTAATTTATATTAATGAAATGCTTACTAAAAGTGTTAAAGAGGATCGGTTGGTTTTATGCCGCTTTGGAAAGTATTTCAATCAGTGCGAATTTCACTGCGTCAGATGGATTTCATACCACATTGTTTGTGATACCTCGAACCATCACCATGACGACTCTGGGTTCGAACACTTTATAATAGGTGTATAACATCACGAAGGCAGGAAACTGAACAGCGAAATACTGCTGCTGTAACCACCCCATCACTTCTGCTCTTTTGTACTGAAATACTGTACTCGTCCCAACTAAGAAATATGGGAAATTAACTAAAATGACAGGTATTTTAGCACTATTCGAAAAACTTTGCTCGCAAGTGTTTCCTTCTAATCTAAATCAGATCTTCCGGTTTGTGAGGTCGCTCTGGTGTGATAATGGAGAATGTCTTCAGGCCTCTGTTTAGAAAGCCAGAAACTGCGTAGAAAGTTACAAGATGTTGATGAAATCCATTATTAGGGATTCTTATCACACGTGGTCAAAAACCTAGGGTGTGACTGGGCTTCCTAGGCCCAGTATAACCAGGCAAAAAGGGTAGCAGGACAAGGGCTAAAGGCACAATGTCTCACATTTTCGACAATATTTGACATATAATTGAAACTTCGAGGCGAACAGCTTCCAAACACACTTGCCATATATGGAATGTAAACGATTGCGGTACATCGAAAACTTTGTATTTTAATATTGTATATTGTATTCTAAATACGCACACTTTCTTTTTCTTTTTTTTCTTTTGGGGTGGGGGTGGGGGTTTAATATATTATATGGTAGCTTCCCTGATAGTTAGTATTATTCACAGAGGCGTGTCACGCTTAGAAACATTACAAAAACATATAGGTATATAGACCCTACCCTAGTACTATATAAAAGGAAAGGGATATAACGACGGAACCACCCCCTCCTCGATCAAAGTTAGATTTCAACACGTAAACTATTTGTAAGGCCCCGTCGAGGCCCACGGATCGAAAGCGACATATTGTCCCTACAAAATGAGCTATAAATTGTCACAATCGGATCATTATTTCAAAAGTTATACGCCACGACTCACCGAAAACAGCTACCTCCGCATTTCCAAGGCATTTTCTCCAAAACCATCGGCAATCATACTCACTTGTCAGCCATAGATGGCCTTGACATTTAAGTGGTTTTGGAGAAAATGCCTGCTTACTGTCGAGGAAATGATTTCTAGATGTTGCAATAAGTTTTAGACCCGTGGAATACTAGCTGTATTCGAGAGAAATACCTTATGTCCGTTTAGAGAAATGTCGCTCATTTGGTGTGACATATATCTGATAATAATTACATGGGTGTCAGACAATTTCCATTTTTTGTACAGCCGTCCATTTTTGTTCGAATTTCGGTCATTTATGCTCCGACCGCCTCCGTGGTGTAGTGGTTAAAACGTCCGCCCGGAGAGCGGAAGGTCGTGGGTTCGATCCCCGACCGCGTCATACCAAAAGATGTTAAAATATGGTACTTGTTGGTCCCTGCCTGGCGCTCGGCATTAATGGGTACAACAAGGACTGGTCGGCTTGGAGTCAGTATAATGTGTCTGAGTGGGGTATTCATGCTTCACTGCGGCATGGTATCTCAGTGGGCTAGCACTATAAAACCAGCTTCAGTCTGGGCAGGGAGACTGTATAAATAGAGTATCCCTGGTCTGGGCTAGTACAAGCAGCCGCAAATACACATACACACGCATGCACGTCGTCATATGAGCGAAATATTCTCAAGCACGACGTTCCATTTCAATGTCAAATGTTCTCATTTCACTTTTATTGTATAAATTGTTTTCGTCACGATATGGCTAAGATATTGCCGACGTGACGTTAAATATTAACTCACTCACTCACTCAAGCACGACGTTAAACCCAATTTCACCTCACCTCCTCTCACCTTATTTATGCTCCATACCTGGAAAGTTCTTAGTTCGATCCGTGTTTATTCCATGTTGGAGCATAACGAATATTTCTAATCATATTCGACGGCCCAAGTTTTGAAAACCGTTTATATATTCAGTGATGTATATGGTTTGTGTACACCTACCTTTAAGTACTTCGTTGATGTAGTACCTGTAGAAGTATACCCTGTGTTGGTCATTGAGGGTACCGTTGTTGTCAGACAGGCCGTTCTCGGTGATGTAGATGGGGACATCGCCGTAGTTGTTCCTGACCCAGTTGAGAATCTTCCTGACCCCCCAGGGAACCACGTATAGCCATGATGACCCGGACCTTCAACATGCATGGGATGCAGTGAGAAACTAGAAATTAGCGTGTTAATCGTCATGACAACGACATGCTGATTGATTGATTGTTGTTTAACGCCACACTCAGCAATATTCTAGCTATATGGCGGTGGTCTGTAAATAAATAGTGCCTTGACCAGACAATCCAGTGATCAACAGCATGAGCACTGATGGTTTATTTGTTTTACTGTTTGTTGTTTTACGCCGCACTCAGCAATATTCCAGCTATATGGCGGCAGTCTGTAAATAATCGAGTCTGGGTAGGATAATCCAGTGATCATCAGCATAAGCATCGATCTACACGATTGGGAAACGATGACATACGGTGGGTATAAGTGAGTTGTTCAATTGATTGAACACATGGTTTAATTGTTTTATTGTTGGTTGTTTAACGCCGCACTCAGCAATATTCCAGCTATATGGCGGCAGTCTGTAAATAATCGAGTCTGGGTAGGATAATCTAGTAATCATCAGCATAAGCATCGATCCCGTTAGTCACGTCTTACGACAAGCATGGGTTACCGAAGACCAATTCGAACCAGGATCTTCACGGCTGTGTACATGCGGAAGATGACGGATGAAGAACAGTAAACTACAGTTATAACGAACTCAAAGAGACCACTGAGTTTACTTATTACCGTAGATCGTTGTCCAAGGGCCCGGAACTGTAACAGTGCGTTATATCCACAGTTTGTTATAAGCGTGTTTGATATAAACGATGTTTATCGCATTACTCACTTTAACCATTTAGGGTCAGGTTCATCCTTTATGCCTCGATCATTGAAGTAGTTGGGCTCTTTACGTCCAGCCAGATCTTCATCTTGCATCTGCACCAACTGTGTGGTGTAGTGGTTCATCCCGAAGAAATCGTGAGTTCCTAGAGTGAAAAAAGTTACATATGAATGCTGAGCTATCACTTTATGGTAGGATGTCAGTATGTTGAAGACATTGTTGTGGCTTTGAATATCTGTCTTTTAATTCAAGTTGTCTGAATAGTGGGCGCCAGCTGTAAGGCAGGACATGCTTAACCCTTTCGCGAACACCTGGTGTCATCATTGACTTTGACTGATCTGTTTGACCTTTTCACTTAATGGATTCTACTTCTGAAGAAAGTCAAGATTCGGTATACGTTTGCACTGACATTGTTTAAGGAACGAATCATACGTATGTTATGCTTGATCACGTAAGAACCGTGAAGATCCGGGGTAGAATGAGCCTTCAGTAACCCATGCTTGTCGAAAGAGGCGACTAACGGGATCGGGTGGTCAGGCTCGCTGACTTGGTTGACACATGTCATCGATTCCCATTTGCGCAGATCGATGCTCATGCTGTTGATCACTGGATTGTCTGGTCCAGATTCGATTATTTACAGACCGCCGCCATATAGCTGGAATATTGCTGAGTGCGGCGTAAAACTAAACTCACTCACATACTTGATCACGTAAGGTAACCGCAAGGTTTAGAGGACGTGATCCACGTTATGCTTGCGCCATGTGGGGTTATCTCAAGGTTTAGAGAGCGAGACCTGCGTATGTTATGATTGCACCATGTGAGGTGATCTGAAGGTTTAGAGAACAAGGCTTATGTGTATTATGCTTGCACCACGTCAGGTTATCTCATGGTTTGGAATACGAGGTCTACGTATTTTCTGCTTGCACCACGTGACTTGATCTCATAGTTTGGAATACGAGGATTACGTATGCAATTCTTGCACCACGTAAAGTTATCTCAACGTTGAGAGACAAAACCCTCCCCTAGGCATTTTAGCAGGGCGGGGCGCCCTGCCCTTTTATTTTGTGACCTGCCCTTTTTCTAAGGCACCCTACCCTTCTGACAAGTTGTTGCAAAATTCCTGTCCAGGAAGAACAGAGGAATATGAAACTGTGCTCTGTCAGCCTGTTCTTCAAAAGACTTCTATACAAAATACGATAATTGATATGAACACTTGTTTGTTTTTAGTTTTTATTTTATGTTGAAGTTAAGTGAAATAACTGTGCCCTTTAAGCCTTTGAGAATCATATGCATGGATAACCTGATACATGGAAATCTGTCACTGCATGCCCCTTTTGAAATAGGGGTGCCCCTTTGAAATGTGTTCGTCCTGCCCTTTTGGATCCTAGGGGAAATACTGACTGAATATCATGCATACGAAGCCTTTGTAACATATGCGTGTACAACGTGGAGTGGTACCGATGTCCTGATCCACCAGTTTAACCCAGTGAGACAATCTGTATAATGAACTGTTTTGTGGGATAGTGGCATGGCTCAATGGCTATCCTGTATTGTTTAAGATTTGGGTCGGCTTCTCCCTATGTGTACAACGTGTGAAGCCCAGCCCAAATACCCCACTCCACCCTGCACCGGTCGCCATTTGAATGGAATATTGATGGAAGCTGTATACTGTACACACTCACTCAGATTCACTGCCAACAATCACTAACCTGCAATTCTCTTCTTCTGTGCCTCTGTGAATTCCGGCAGTCTCGATCTATTAAGTCCCTGTGCCTTACTAACGGACTCTAGTCTGTTTTTCATCACTTCTGGGTAGTCTCCGTTGACGTACACAGGATGTGCGAACCAACCCAGGAACATCTGAACTGCCCATTCTGACGCCTTAATGTCAGAGGGCTTCATGGGATCCTTTGGCTCCGCCCAGTCTATGTTCAGGGTGAGGCTTATTTGACCTGAATGTAAATTATCAAAATATAATTTATTTAATATGTATTGAAAATCTTAAAATGATAACTGATCTTATCCCTTAACACTATTAACAATATGCATCCATTATGATTCAGAAAAAAATGTCATTCCTATTAGTAAAAAATATCAGTAAACTATTTAAATATTAAAACTACTAAAATTAACTATTCTTTATCATAATAATCATCAATGAGAAATATTTATATTGGTAAAAAACTCACGGGCGAAAGAAACGTCACCAAAATGATTTTTTAATCTTTTATCGTACACTAAGTGATTATTCATGCCTGTAGTTCACACTTTCATCATTCAGAATGTTGTAAATCCATTAACTTTCCACATATGATTGTTAAATTTCCGAAATCTGAGTTTGTTTTTTTGTTACATGTTAAAAAAGCGAGGTGACGTTTCTTTCGCCCGTGCGTTTATTTTCTAACGTTTTTAATAATATCAAACAAGCACAATTTGACTGATCAATAGTTATCATTCAAAACAAATTCTTACACTGTGTCTTGAACATGTAAGTTTAATAAACTTCCAAGGAGTTCTTACTTATATGTTATCATACAACGTTATTGGGTGGGCTGACTCGCTGACTTAGTTGACACATGTCATCGTATGCCAATTGAGCAGATCGATGCTCATGATGTTGATCACTGGATTGAATGGTCCAATTATATACAGACCGACGCCATATAGCTGGAATATTGCTGAGTGCAGTGTTAAAAAACAAATAAACAAACAAAATCACCACAGCATACCGTGTTGTGTCTTCCTGTAAGTATCATTGTACAGGTGATAGGCCTCGGCATGGGACAAGAGAACATTGTGTGCCCCCAAGTAGGGCTCAACCCCAAGGCTAGTGTGCCCTGGAGCATGGTCTCCTGTCCCCAGACCCTTCACTAAGAACACCCAAGGCTCGTTGAATGTTATCCAAAGTTTCACCTGTGAATGGAAACAGCAGCCTACATGTACTCACAAACACATGATGTAACCTAAACAACTGTTTTTTCATTGATCTGATTTGTGAAGGAAGGAACTTAAATATTGTTTAAAACTTAATTATGATACAGATATTGTAACTTTGATAAGAGATGATTTGGAATGAGATTGTAACCTACACACATGAACAAACAGTTTGTTCATTGATCCGATTTGTATATACTTATTAAGTTTAGGTTTAAACAAAATAACACATCTGAGATACCTTGTTAGTCAATAATGTGTCACAAGTGAACCTTCTGTTAATGCCGTCGATTTTATATGTGACAATATTTCTTCAGCTAAGATACTAAATAACTACCAATAAACAGGCACACAAGACTTCACCTTGCATGGCGCATAGCAAAGGTAACGATTTCACTTATCTAATTCTTCGTACTTTGGCAATGAAATAATATGCAATATAAGTCATAATAAAAGTACGGCATTTGCATTTTCATGTTGTTTATTAAAGAATAATGCCAATATTCAAATACATAAAAGTTACAAAACCCTTCCACATTCATAAGAAGTCTATGTTAAAGGTAGAGTAAAATACCGACCATATCTTGACAATAACATGTTTATGAATCCCGTTCAAACAGTGATGGTAGCATGTGCCCGCGACAGGGTGAGCGTATCATTCCCCGCCAGGAGCACACATTATATACCTAATGTTAAAGCTATATAGTTCATTGTTCATTTGGGAACGCGTGGAACAAGTCAAAATTGGGAATTGCAACAGACATAATCTTTGACACTGATGAGGGAAATTTTGAAATATTCCCTCAACATATGCATATCTACCATAATACTTTTTGAAAGCTTTACTGAGGCCTTGAACGCTGTCACCTTATTCGAACAATTTCAGAGATGTATGACGCTAGTTGATATCTTGGTAAAAATGAGTATACTCGATTGTACCTCTAAGTTCTGCTGTGTAAACATCAAGGGCTGGGGCTGTTGGAATATTGCTCGATAAAATGGAAAGTTGACACATTCGCATTGTGCTTACCTTATTTCCATATTCTCTAAAGCACACGTCAGCGTAGTCTTTGAAATGTCCAATAATGGACTCGTTAGTCCATCCTCCTTTGTCCTGGAGAGCCTTTGGAAGGTCCCAGTGGTACAAGGTGACCATTGGTTCAATGCCTGCAGCAAGGAGAGCGTCGAGGAGCCGATGGTAGTACTGGATACCATCTGGATTCATAGATTCTTTGGTGCCATTTGGGAATATTCTTGGCCACGCGATGGAAAGACGATAGTGATTGACCTGTGAAGATAATAATTTGCAGTGATTTATTTACTAAACAAACAATGTCTAAAGATATTAAAAAGCACAACTGTTACGCGAAAAAGTGGACTTTAACCCGAAATTGTAATGCCTTATAAGTGTTACTTTTTAAGACCGTTCATGAAAAAAGACTTGAAGGAAGGAATATAGAAACTTTAACAAAATGGTTTTGTCCGAGTTTGTTATAATTTATTAAAATCAGAAAAAATATAGAAATTGTGACAAAACAGTGTTATCTGATGTTACTTTAACAATGTGAAAATTAAAAAAAACACTATCGCCAATCTTCTTAAAAAATTATGAATATAACAAATGAAATCTACATTTTAAATAAGCGGAAGAGACTTCGCGTTAGACGCCCCTCAAAGAGTAAAGGGGCGGTGGGGTAGCCGAGTGGTTAAAGCGTTTGCTCGTCACCCAGGTTCGATTCCCCACATGGGTACAATGTGTTAAGCCCATTTCTGGTGTTTCCCGCCGTTATATTGCTGGAATATTGCTAAAAGCGTCGTAAAACCAAACTCACTCACTCACTCAAAGACTAAGCTAACACGCCACGAAGGAACTGAAATACTGTTTTCGACGTAATTTTTTTCTACTGATATTGTCACGTTTGTAAGTATATTGTTCTTTAGTCGAAAATGTTAACGAGAACAACGGAAAGCTTGTTACCCCCATGTTTTTTCAAGAGTCTGACGTCCTCGGGGTATTTGTGGTAGCTGTCGCAGGCCACGGCGCCAGTGTCGTTGTGGAACACGTGGAAGTTGTCCCAGATACTTTCTCCTCGTCCTGTTCCAACACAACAATCGGACAATCACTACAGATACTTTGTATCAGTATTCACCGTACTCAGATAAAGCCGTACACAGAACTGAGGGCCCATGGGGTCGCCTAGTGGTATAATCATACCCGTATCACAAAGTCAGAAGGTGCTGGGTATGTGCGCTATGAGAACAGAAATCTATATAGTTAGGGATTCATTCCTCCTTATGCTGTGCCTCCATATATTGCCACATCAAGGGGCCGGTGGGGTAGCCAAAACCTGGGTTCGATTCCCCACCTGGATGCAATGTGTCAAGCCTATTTCAGGCGTCCCCCGCAGTGATATTGCTAGAATATTGCTAAAATCGGTGGTAGACTCACTCATTCACTCTCACTCACTCACCCACCCGCCCACTCAGTCAATCAATAACTCACTCAATTAATCAATCACTCACTCTTCCTCAGAAAATACCACATTGATGACAAGTTCAGATCTGAACATCCATACCAGGCTACAACCTATATTGTCATAATTTTTTAAAAATATTGCACTTTATTAACTTTGATTTAAAAAGGCATTATTTTAATAATACATGGTTACCTCTAAGGATAATGTTCATAGTTTTATATCAGACATAAATCAAATGTACCTCTCTTTCTCTGTAACACTTCCAGATCAGTATATCGTATACCTTTAATTAACATGTATATGATACGTACCTGATGTAATCCGTATATCACTAAGTATACTATCACAGATGATGAAACTATACTTGCTGTATAATTAGATCTACACTGTACGTCACAGAAACCACAACTATACCTGCTATGATGCTAAGTCTGCATCACTATTTATTCATCTGTGCCTGCAAAACATGGCCTGAAAGGTCTTTGAACGACATTCAGAAATGATATACATAAAGGCAAGAACTTATCTTTGTCAACTTCTTTATTTTCAGGAACAAGGGGGCGGTGGGGTAGCTCAGTTGTTAAAGCGTCCGCTCGTCACGCCGAGACTCGGGTTTGATTTCCCACATGGGTAGAATGTGTGAAGACCATTTCTGGTGTCCCCACCATTATATTGCTAGAATATTGCTAAAAGCGGCGTGAAACCATATTCACTCACTCACTCAGGAGCACGACATTTCGGAGTATATTCTTACTCCTTCGTTTACCTGATGATGACCCCGAAACGTCGTGAACCTCAAAATAAAGAATTTGACATCCATCAAAGTCTTGCCTTTATGAAACTGACCGGTACCACTAACCATCCTCTTTGAGAGCTCCTTCAACCTGGAAAGCTGCTGACGCAGCACTCCACAGGAAGTCCTTGGGGAAGGTCCCATAGTGAAACTCCCCCTCCCCCTGCACGGCAGATCCCCTACCCCCGGGCCTGGAGTATCCGGGCTTGTACCCATTGTCCTGAACCAGTCCAGCGTACCAGTAAGCTGAAGCTTTGGGAGTACGTGGTAACGTCGGATCGCTGAAGTTGACTTGATGTAGCCCGAACTTCTCGCTGAATCCGGTCAGCCACTCGAGATTGTCCATCAATGACCATGCGGTGTAGCCCTTTACATTACATTTATCTAACTTTATTGCTGCAAACGTCAGCTTTGTGTGATTATAGATTTTGATTACATTAACTCTTAGCGGAAAGGCATGCGGTATAGATCACTATAAACGGGCAAACGTTGTGTTTAATTTTGTCATTCGGTTTTGCCTGGAAGAGAGGAAATCGTCATGCCGATTGCCGCCAATCAAAACATCGTCACAGGCCGCCTTGAAGCTGGGCAGTCTGCAGTTGCCCGACATTTCAACGTTCATCAGAGCACCATATCTCGACAGATTCGGTGGAGACAATGTCATGGTGTGGGGTGGTTTATCCAGCACACAAAGATCTGACTTAGTGGTGGTTCAGGGGAATTTGACAGCAAATCGGTACATCAACGAAGTCCTTGCACGTCACATGCGTCTGATTATGGACTGACAGAGGTAGGTGTTCCAGCATGACAACGCTACTTCACATACAGCATGCATCACGGTCCGCTACCTTGCCAGTTCTGTCGTCAATGTCTTGCCATGGTCTTCACGATCACCAGATCTAAACCCGATAGAACACCTATGGGATGAACTCGATCGACGTTTATGTCAACGTGAAAACAAAAAATAAACACGCCTCAGAGACTTCCACAACTGGCCATCGCATTGCAGGAAGAGTGGGGAAGAATTATCGTCCACTTATCCAGTCTGTGCCGATGCGGTGCCGAGCAGTAATTGCTGCCAATGGTGCTATACAAAGTACTGACTTTGACGCCATCTGTTTCATTCAAGTAAACAGAAACACAGCAATAAAGGCTGCTGTTATTTTGGCGAACTCTTTGTCTACAGACGTGTGAATCCTCACATTTGTACCATTGAACTTACATAAAACAATTGCTCTTAACCTAACGCAATATATTTAATTCTTCTTCAAATGGCGTATAGTAGTAGTCGTAGGACGATTTTAATGCTCTTTAAATCATAGCATGACTCAAGTTGAGATGTGGACTGCTGAGCCAAGTATTACCTTTCAGTATTTCGTTGTTAGTATCGATACATGTATATATTATGAGAATCCCCTTCTGAGTTCAATGATCCATCCTTATCAACGATCTGATCAACTGTATTTAATCAGCGATTGCTGTCGGGCCATTTTAACGTTCTGTAAATCATGACATGAGCCACGGTGAGATGTGGACAGCTGGGTTTGATTTTACTTTCCAATACTTCGTTGATGTAACAACGATAGATATTATTGGGATCCCCGTCTCTGTACGATGACTTAACCAACCGAATCACTGAACTGATCTACTGTATTTAATTAGTAACTGTTTTAATACGATGTTAACGTTCTGTAAGTTAGGTCAAGATCCAAGATGAGCTGTGGACTACTGAACTAACTAGTACCTTTTGAACAGTACTTCGCCCGTGTAGATATGATGAGAATCACCGTCTCAGATCTACTGAACTAAGAATTACCTTTCAGTACTTCGTTGATGTAATAACGATAAAAACGAATGCGATGATTATCGTGCAATGTCCCATTCCGGTCGGAGATGCCATTCTCGGTGATGTAGACGTCCACATTGTTGTAGTTGTACTTGATCCAATTCAGCATTTTCCTTATCGACCAGGGTGTTACGGTCAGCCAGATGGATCCAGATCTATTAACGCAAAATGCATATTTTTTATTCCCGAAGGTATTACAATCCGACGGTATCCTCCAAAAACTTCCACATCCAAAAACTTCCACAGCTTATAACAATAACATTTCTGGTTGACTGTACCGACTTTAGCATACTGATTACCTCAGTCTGTAATGGTTTAACCCATTAATCAGAAATGAATGCAAACAATCACATAGTAATAATATATCTATTTTATTAGGGCAGGGTTATTAACAAAATTATAAATACACAATTTTTTAGTTACATATCACATTGAAATAACAGTCTATGTAGAACATTTATATAGAACTTATGTCCTATAATGTCCAAGATTTCATCAACACATCTGACAGTCATAACCATAAATAATGTATGTTTCAGATTTATTAACTAACTGCACATTTTTCTTCTAAACTTCTTGTCCAAACTTCTCTGCTGATGCAATATACCAATCAAATAAACCACAGTAGTTTACATAAACACATAAAAATTAAAAAACAAAAACAGTCAGGTGATATATGATAATCTGTTGTTTCAATTCAGTGCACTTCCTTGGCTATCACGGCCATAAGACTTATTCAGAGCTACAGACAGACTGGCTATCACTGTATCACGCCTATAAGACTTATTCAGAGCTACAGACAGACTGGGGTCACCGTAGATAGACCAAGAAGTCGACGTCCACGCATCACAATGCAGCAGAAAGTTTTCAGAAGAAATGTACACATGGCAACAAACTATACCATTATCATTACTATCATGTTTTACAGGTTAAGATTTTTTTAACTATTGCCGGGAGAGCCACATCAATTTTGGCTATCTGTTTCTGAAATATGTGGTTCTCCCGGCCTGTAACCATCCTATTACTTAAAAAAGGGAAATGAGGAGTTGGTTTTTTAACAATGTGTTGTGGTATTGGAATGTGGAAGTTTTGAGATACATATATATCCCAATCCGTCAATTGGATCCAGATCTGACGCAAAATAGTAATACATATGTTTCCTTTTTTTATTTCCAAGGGAAATACTATCCGCAAGTTGGATCCCAGTCTGTCTCAAAGTCCCTGAACCACATTGTTTTCCCTACTGCCTGGCGTTCCCTGCAATGCTAAAGCCCTTAAATGAAGAAAGTCTAGATTTCCCCAGGTTCAGAAATCTCCCATCTCACTTGGGCTCCTTTACAATATTTAAATGGGTTTTTTTTTTACTATCAAAAGTATATATATTCAGTGACTAAGCGTTAGTCTAGTTTGATCCAGGTCTGTTGTGTAATAACGAAAAATATATTTATTCCTATTCCCCAGGGTGTTACTTAGTGTCAGTTGGATAAAGAGCTGATAAGTAATAACAAACAAACTTTCTTGAAAGCTTTAAGATTTCTATTTTACAAACATTTTCCTAAACGACACTGTCATATGGTATGCGGTCATAATTGTTTCCTGAACAATCAACTTTTAACCAAGATTCTAAACAATCGTTTTTCTTGAAAATGAACTTCTGATATGAGACCTTTTTGGCAAACGCCTACTCCAACATTTTAGGGATATTTTTTATGACTTTTTAAAAAGTCATAGTCTCCAAGAATCCGCATGTGTAAAACAGTACAATAGTATTTTGTATTGAGTTGTTGTTTTCTATACAGTAACGCTCAAAGTTACTCTCATGAAGTAACGGGTAGTATCATATGTACCAATGGTGGTATGTGATCTTGTGCATAGAGCGCAGGACAAATCAGGTGAAGTTGAGCAACGTTTATCACGGACAGTCCTTGACATGTGTCTATTAACCTTCCAGCGCCTCACAGGCTTCGCAGATTCAATGTCGCTGTTGAATTTCCTGCGGGTTCTACCATATACCGCATTTCCTATTCTTAAATATTCTGCTCTATGTAGGTTCACAGATAACCTGTAGTCTAAGCTACTGCAGTTGTGGGTAAGAATCCCTTCATTTGCCAACATCACACTCGAGTCCTTGTGTGCAACATCCCGGCGCTTATGTATCGGAGAAAACACGTCCCCGAGGTTTTGGTAGAGAATGTAAAACCGAGGGTTGCCCTCCTCCCAAGGTTTTACATTCTCTACCAAAACCGACGGGAAGTGTTTTCCCTAACATATAAACCGTCAATGATGGATAATTACAATGTAGATGATCATTTAATGAAGCTACATAACAATAACTGAAGCGCAAGTAAAATCAATGTAATGACAGTAACTATAAATAGATAATTTAACACCAATATATACGTCGGCTCGGTGGCCGTGAGGTAGAGTGTCTGCTTATTAATCTGATAGATGCGGTTGTAATCCTGCTTGGCAAAACAATTGCGCTTTGAAACTGATCTTGGACGATATTTTTCAATTGATTTCAAGCACACATATATCATTTGAATGTTGATATTCATATGGAGTTAGGAAAAAATGATGACAAAAAGTAAAACCTGGGAAGAGGTCTTACTTATAAAAAGTAAAACCTGAGAGCAAACAAAAACCTCAAATGCGGTTATTCCGGGAAAGGAAGAGATGCTTAATATATAGTGAGTAGCACACTTCAGGTTTATATAAACGTTGAAGACCTTTCATAACTTTGACGTTATCAAGCTGCCACTTATATAACTGGACCACCGGTCAAGAAGAGTTAAACACTCACTCACGCACCCAAACAACCACTCACTCACTCACCGATTTTATATGCAACCAGTGTAAAAACCTTATAGCGAATCCAGAACCAGAATAAAAGTTATCAAAGAAAATCCTCGTGTTATCAGTGACTTTCATAGCATCGACACAATACGTCAGTAACTTGATTGTCTGGTCGACTCGACCATTTACTGACCGCCGCGATATAGCTAAACAATTGTTGAACAACGAACAAACACACAAACATTCCACGTTCCATCAGAAACTTCCATGTCAGTCGTGTCTGAGATTACCTACCCTAGCCAGTTAGGATCCGCATAGGTTTCCACTTCCTTATCATTGTCATATGTGGGTGTGTCGCCGACAGGTTGTGGGTCGTCGCGAGCAATAAGAGAGTTGTAGTAATTTACCCCGAGAAAATCGTGAGATCCTGTTGACAAACATCAAAGTTTCAGTGAGTAAATGAATGAGTTAGTAATACTATGGTTTTACGCGACGTTTTGCAGTATTCCACTAATATCACAGCGGGGTACACCAGAAATGGACTTCACATATTGTACCCATGTAGGGAATCGAACCCGGGTCTTCGGCGTGACGGGCTAACTCTTTAACCACTAGGCTACCCGACCGCCCCCTACATGGACGCATTCACATGACGTTGATCTGATTGTATTACATTAAATCGGAGAGTATGATTAAGATAAGGACATAAACAACTCAAAGCAAGGTTTGATAACAACAAGGGGAGGCATTTTAGTAAACAAGTGGTTGAAGCGTTCGATCGTCCACATTTAAGTCTCGGGTTTGATTCCATCAAGGGTGAAAGGTGTAAAAGACAAGTCGCATTCACCCATCCACTCACGGATATCATGCTTAGCTATTTTAATGAAAGTTCTTTTTCACATACATTTTTGTATTGATGGTTCTGGTGGCCTAAAGCAAAATGGCCTCATCTGTTGTTTGACGACATCTGATTACCCACATGGGTACAATGTGTTAAGGCCATTTCTGGCGTCCCCTGCCGTGATATTGCTGGAATATTGCTAAACGCCATACTCACTCACTCATTTTGACGACATCTACGCTTTATTCACATCGTCGGTGTAGTCCCAGCTAACAAGTTCACGTTGTCACAACGTTGTCACAGCGTTATGCTTTCGTTGTTACAACGGTATTCTGTGGACTCCCATTTACGTTGTCACAATGTTGTTACTGCGTTATGCTTTCGTTGTTACAACGGTATTCTGTGGACTCCCATTTACGTTGTCACAACGTTGTCACAGCGTTATGCTTTCGTTGTTACAACGGTATTCTGTGGACTCCCATTTACGTTGTCACAACGTTGTCACAGCGTTATGCTTTCGTTGTTAAAACGGTATTCTGTGGACTCCCATTTACGTTGTCACAACTTTGTGATACGTCATTTTAATGTCGCCACAAGGTTAAAGTTATTTAATACTAACGTATTTTACGTTGTCGTAACTTTATATGTAACATTAATAGTTGAATAGTTTTCCCAGTAGTGAACAGTACATGAGAAACATTGATCGTGTGTTTTCTGAAGCTGTAGCTGAATAGTGACGACAGAATTTCAAAGTGAAAACTTTTACAGAAAACTATCGTGATAAGTTATAAGAAACGTTGTTATAACGTTTTGAGGAGCCCAAAGCATAACGTTTCCTCAGCGTATATTCGGAACATTGTTATTACGTTGTGACATAACGTTATAAAATGGCGTAATGCTAACGTTGTGACGTTGTGTCATGGCGTTACCAATCTACAACCTTCCCACAACGTTGCGGAAACGTTGAGTGATAGTTGGGTTTTGTATTCTTTATGAACGATCCGATTGGCATATACTGCTCAAAAGACGTTAAGGGTGACCGGCCTCTTTCAAATTATTATTAGATGAACTATTAAATAGCAATCAGTAAAAATCGTATAGAATCAAACTTCTATCGATTATAAAGTATGTTCCAATAATTGATTACTCAACGATAATGGACGCAGGAAAGACATGAAAGTAAAAATAACAGTTTGAAAATGCAAATAAAGCCTACAAAATCATTTCCACATCCATAAGAAATATCTCCCTGAAGCAGAGTAGATTGTACAATTCCACTTCTATCATGATTATGTGTTTATAAATTACTATCAAACAGTGATGATGCCAGGTGTTCCTCAAAAGGTGAGCGTCTCCTGCTCCACCAGTGGCACGAGTCATAAACACATGCAAAGGCTAGTCAATTGTTGACCTGAAAACAGTTCGGAAACGTATGGTACAAGTTAAAATATGGACATTATTCGTGTTACTAATGAGTGAAATTAAAAATTTTCTCCACATGTTCAAATGCGTAAGCGAGTGAGTTTAGTTTTAAGCCGCACCCAGCAATATTCCAGCTACATGGCAGCGTTCTGTAAATAATCGAGTCTGGACCAGACAATCCAGTGATCAACAGCATAGTCATCGATCTGCGCAATTGGGATCCGATGTCATGTGTCAACCAAGTCAGCAAGCCTGACCACCCGATCCCTGTTCAAATGAATAACACACACGTAAACAATGTCCTTTGTAATAATTTTTAAGTTCATGAATTTCACCTTTCAATTTTTGTTTTTCCGAATCAGAAAAGTTACGTAATCTGTCCGAGGCCAGCCCGATTCCTTGTTTTTCCGAGCAACCCTTTCCTTCATCACAGGAGGCCAGTCCCCGTCCACATATATTGGATGGCTGAACATCCCGTCGTAGAACTCAATTGCCCTTTCTGCTGCATCTACATCAGAGATGTCCAGAGGATCTCGGGGCTCGTTCCAGATAAAGTTGATGGTTATCCCGACTTCCCCTTAAATGAGGAACACACACGGACCATGACAGCGTCATTTTGTTTGGATAAATAATGCAAACTCTTTCGAATTCAATAGGAGTCAGTGTTCCATATAGAACAGTATCATGTGATACGTGAAACATAAATGCTCATTTGTATAGGTGCGCTCGTATAGTACAGTATAGACTTTCTTATGTTGATCTGTAACCAGACAAACTGATGATTTGGCTCATAGCTTTGGACACCGGAATAATAAAGTTGTTTAACAAACGATCATTATTTTATTGTCACTTTTCGCTACTTTTTACGAGGGGCGACCACTTGATGGTAAAACAGCTAGGTAATCAACAAGCGTCTGTTGTGAAATTGAAATTCACACGTGCAAACCCGTACCACCAGTTCTACCAGCAAGTGGGTGTCCAAAATTATGAGACAAATCATCAGAGTTGCTCTGTCGATTTTATGTGCCAAATTTGGTTTTGTTGCATTTATTAGATTCTTTGTTTGCGAGCAATTGTCTCAAATGACTGACTGACCGACTGAGTTTAGTTTTACGCCGCTTTTAGCAATATTCCAGCAACATCACGGCGGGGGACACCAGAAATGGGCTTCACACATGGTCTCAAATGAAATCAAAAGGACTGTAGCTTACTTAACAGAAGAACCCGTCTTCTGTAATGGCTATATATCTAGCTCTCGGTTTACGGAGCACGATGCAATATCCCTACTCCATGGTTGCCCGAGGTAATAGTGTAAATATCACACGAATTGCAACCACTGCAGGATTATTGTTTTAACAAATATATCATTATAAATATACGTGTTACATATTACCCTATCCTTCTTACCTTTCTGTGATGCTCTGTACGTGTTATTGTACAGGTGGTACACCTCCGCATGGGCTAAGAGAAGGTTCCTTGCTACGATATATATGTTCTGCGTCATGTTGTGCTTTTGAGGAGCAAACGTTCCGTTACCGTAACCCAATATGGAGATTATAGGTGGCTCGTTGAAAGTGATCCAGAAGGACACCTTGGAAGTTTAAAAAACACGAAATGAACCGCCATAAAATATATCTCTCAATAAAAGCAAATACAATTTGAAAATGTTCCCCAAATGCTTTAAAATGAATTATCAGGTTTTACCAAAAAATGTATCTATTTTGAACTAATACTGTATGTTAGATTTTGGTTTGCTTGGTTTTTTTACCGCCGGACTCAACAATGTTTCAGCTGTATGACGGCGGTCTGTAAGTAATCGAGTCTGGACCAAACAATCCAGTGACACAATTGGGATACGATGACATGTGTCAACATAGTCGGCGAGCCTGCCCACCCGATCCCGTTAGTCGCTTCTTACGACAAGCATGAGTTGCCGAAGACCAATTCTAACCCTGATCTTCACGGATCCTGTGTATTAGAGAATTAAATCCTTTTTTTTTATTATCAAAGAAAGGACTGAAACCAGCAATCAAATAATCCAGGAATATTAAATGGTTGGTCTATTATTCACCAAATGCCGCGAACACCTGGAGTAATGATGTTTTTGTAATCCGTACATATGATATTTCACCACTCTTTTACATTTTACCTTTTACCTGGAATCAGTTTCCACTGATAATCGAGATTGATTATTATCGTACTTGCGCGAATTGTCCAAGAACTGGACAAGTGAGTGTTTTTTGTTTTGATGCCGCTTTAACAGCAATATTCCTCTAATGTAAAAGCGGGGGACATCATTGTACCCATGTGGGGAATCGAACCCGGGTCTTCGGGGTGACGAGCAAACACTTTAACCAAAAGGCTACCCCGCCGCCCCGGTTGAACATGTGACCTTCCTCTTAAAAAATTATAACGCTATTTTCCTCATAGTCTAGATCAAAGGAATAGTTTTACGTAGGGAAACAACTCTACATGTTATTATCAAATATTGAATGAGTGACGTGACTGAGTGAGTGAGTTTAGTTTTACGCAGCTTTCAGCAATAATCCAGCAATATCACGGCGGTGGACACCAGAAACGTTCTTCACAAATTGTACCCATGTGGGAAATCGAACCCGGGTCTTTGGCGTGACTAACGAATGTTTTAACCACTGGGCTACCCCACACACCCCGACATGAAATGGTTCTGCGTTTCTATAAAATGACGATTGCCAGTACTGTAGTTCTACCTACGTTATTTCCAAACTCCTGGAAACATAGGTCAGCGTAGTCCCTATACCAGTTCACAATGTTTTCATTGAGGAATCCTCCCTTGTCCTCCAGCGCCTGTGGTAGGTCCCAGTGGAAGATGGTGACCATTGGTTTGATGCCGTTGTGGAGCAGTTCAGCGATGAGTTTGTGGTAGTAATCGATGCCTTGCTGGTTCTTTCCTCCAGAGAGTGTACCGTTGGGAAGAATTCGGGTCCAGGAGATTGAGAAACGGTAGTGGGATACCTTCAATGAGAAATCGTCATCAGGATAACACTATATGGGTGATCAACCTCTTTATTGGACTGAAAGCGATGTTTCTGAGTTGGTTCTAACAGCGTTATCAAGCAAGGAAGGGATGAACGGAATAAGGATTGAGAGGCATATATAGAAGTGTGGCGAAGTGTACTGGGATACCTTTAAGGCGAAATCGTCAGTTAATTGCTGTTCCTTATCATCTTCTTCTCCAATTGAGGGATGACTCCCTTAAAGAAATCTGAGTCCAGGCAATAATTTAGTGATAGACTGAATTATGAACGGTGTATGTATACCACTAGAATCATTTGAGACTATAGAGTATTGTAACATCTTTATTTCGATGTTTGAGCAGGATAATATATGGATGAACATCTTCTTTATTGCAGTGAGAGCGATGTTTCGGTGTAGGTTCCAACACCGTTATCAAGCAACGTCAGAGACAACAGAATTAAGTTCGAGGGGCATATATTGAAATGTATTTATACAGTACAATGGGTATTAGGACTGCATTGACTTGGGGAAGTCAGTTAACTACACATTGGCCAAGATCAGATAGAAACGCTAACAGGTGCAACCTGCAGTATATTACAACTGATTGGACGTTCCAACGTTTTGCCAACTGAACCAGAATAAAACCTCACGTTCCGTCATGTATCATCTTCATATTTTCAGGTAGTTTCTAAACATTCGTGACCAGACAATCCAGTCATCAACATCATGAACATCAATCTACGCAAATACGATACGATGACATATGTCAACCAAGTCAGCGAGCCTGAACACCCGATCCTGTTAGACACTTAAGACACGCTGAAGACCAGTTGTAATCCTTGTATCACAATAAACGCATTTATCGTGGACCATAATGGGGTAACGGTTGGGCCTGTCGTCCATGACGTTGCAACTCGCTGTGCTGATTTTTGCCCTTTGGGCGTTGTAAAACGCAAACTATTTAGAGAAATATACAGCTGCCAACGAAACGGCCCAAATTTGTGTTTCCATATCACTTGTTCATTAAAACAGCGTTTGCATGGATGCCCTTTCAACTTATGGATCGATATTCAGCATAATGCTGGTAAATTCTATTTTGAATTCGATTTCCGTGTATATAGCGAAACGGCTCACACGATCGTTTTGAGACACGTTCTTGAAACTCTATCCTGGTGGCAAATACTATCATATTGCTCAAACATAGCTAAACAGTGCAAGTCTAGATCGTCTTCAGTTACGCGGCCCGTCAAAGGAAGCCATTGGAAATTCTCAGATGGCGGTGAAAAGTTGTTGAAAGTTGAGAGTGGATAGTTGAAAGTTGAACATTATTGGCTGATAGTTGAAGATCTGTTTGATTGGCATTTAGAAGTTGGTGACTAATAAGAGAGTAAGATTCTTTATGGATAACAACTTCTTTTATTATATATGATGCGACGTTTAGGTATGGAGTCTTATACCGTTGTCAAGCAAGAGTGAAGTAATGCAGCACAGAACAGACTTATATACATCAACAGGGATTAAGTAATAGCAACATGGAGGTATGAATCAAGGGGATTACCAACAACAACCAGGCACGGTGGTAATAATGTAGTGACAATAGGAGGAAGCCAATGGACCTAGAGGTAGAAACAAATATACATGGCTGATGAGATTAATTAGCAATGATGGCTGGAGTGCTCTAATCTGTTGTTTTTACCAGTTCATCGTATGCAGAAGGGATGAGATATCCCTGGTCTCTGTTAATTGAGGGCTTGTGTCTCCAGATTTGAACTGCTTCTGCAAGTTTCCTTTTGGTGAAGTCCTGGTGATTTTTCGATAATATCTCTACATTGCCCCAAATTATGTTGTGATTGGGACAGTTGCTGATGTGGTCTGATAGTGCTGATTTTCTGTCTGATTTAGTGGTAGATGATAAGTGTTCTTTGATTCTGATATTTATGGGCCGGGAGGTTTCGCCTACTTAGGCCCCGCCACAGTCACAGTTGATTTTATACACAACACCTTTGGGTTGATGTTGTTGTTTAGAGGTGTTCCTGCCATTAGCTTTCAGTAGGGTTTTCAGGGGTGTAGAGCTGGTAAAGTAGGTTCCGATGCCTGCTTGTCGCTTCAGGAGACGGCTGATGTAGTGGGAGGTCCTACCTATGAAGTGGAGAGAGATACGAATAGGTGCTGGACGAGCCATCAACCTCTCCTCCACCTGTCACACTACAGAAACACAGCACCTCCGCCATGTTTTCACCAAGTTCAACCACTACCCGTCAAAGCTAGTCGTTGAAATTATCAGCTCCACACTCCACATAACAAGAAAACCGGCAAACAAACCTGAACCAGCACCTATTCGTATCTCCCTCCCTTTCATAGGGAAGACCTCCCACCACATCAAAGAACACTTATCATCTAAAACTAAATCAGACCACATCATCAACTGTCCCAATCACAACATAATTTGGGACAATGTAGAGATATTATCGAAAAATCACCAGGACATCACCCAAAGAAAACTTGCAGAAGCAGTTCATATCCGGAGACACAAGCCCTCAATCAACAGACACCAGGGATATATCATCCCTTCTGCATACAATGAACTGATAAAAACAACAGAGGAGAGGTTGATGGCTCGTCCAGCAATACCGCCCGGTATCTAATCTTTCCTTTACCTCGAAGATACTAGAGAAAGCTGTTGCACAACAGCTAACTCAACATCTGGATACCCACGGATTGTCTTGCAAATTTCAATCAGCATACAAAAGATCACACAGCACCGAGACGGCCCTGGTGCGAGTTGTGAACGATTTGCGCTCAGTGGTTGACCGTGGTGACCTAGGGATGCTTGTGCTGTTGGATTTATCCGCAGCTTTCAATACAATCGACAATGAGATCTTGACGTAGACTTGAGATGCAGTATGGCCTGTCAGGATGTGTCCGTGATTGGTTCTCCTCCTACCTGTCAGATCGGTGCCAGAGTGTCATCAAAAACACACAATCATCAAGGATTGATCTATGTTGTGGCGTGCCCCAGGGTTCTGTGTTGGGACCAGTACTGTTCACGTTATACACTGAACCACTGGGAGAGCTTCTCAATAGCCATGAAGTACCACATCATTTTTATGCAGACGACTCCCAGTTGATCAACAGTATTTCTCCTGGTGTTGAACATTCATCTCTTGCAAAAATGGCAACTTGCATAACTGATGTCAAAACATGGATGACAGCCAACATGCTGAAGTTGAATGAGAACAAAACGGAAGCCATGTTCATTGGACCAAGACAGAGACTCCAGAAACTAGATGTGACTGACATCCCAATATGTGACATCACAGTCCCACATTCCAGATCCGTGAAGCATTTGGGAGTATATCTTCAATCAGATCTTTCGATGGACAGACAAGTCTCAGAGCTCTGTAGAGTCTGCAACTACCATCTGCGGAACATAGGCAGTATACGTCATCTCCTCACTCAAGACACTGCAGCAACTCTAGCGAGATCCTTCATCCTGTCTCGACTGGATTATTGCAACAGTCTCCTTGCTGATTCTACACAGTCAAACATTAACCGCCTCCAGAGAATCCAAAATAAAACTGCTCGTATGGTTACCAGGTCACCCCGGTCCGCTGACATAAACAACATCTTAAGATCGCTGCACTGGTTGCCCATCCGTGCTCATGTTGTTTTTAAACTCCTGTGCCTAGTCTACCAGTGTGTTCATGGAACTGCTCCTGAGTACCTGTGTGAACTCCTGACAGTACCAACCAGCTAGATGTCTCCGGTCCAGTTCAAAGCAACTCCTTGACATTCCCAGATTTCAGCTAAAAACATTCGGCGGCAGATCTTTCAGTGTGACAGCAGCTGTCAAATGGAATCAGCTACCTGACTCTTTAAAACACTCTGACTCTCTTCCATCATTCAAAGCCCTCCTAAAGACCTATCTCTTCAACAACTATCTCTGACTCTGGACTTGCTTTGCTAAAGCGCTTTGAGCTTGCATTGATGTGTGGAAAAGCGCTATACAAATGGAACTATTATTAGAGCACTCCAGCCATCATTGCTAATTAATCTCATCAGCCATGTATATTTTGTTTCTGCCTCTAGGACCATTGGCTTCCTCCTATTGTCACTACATTATTACCACCGTGCCTGGTTGTTGTTGGTAATCCCCTTGATTCATACCTCCATGTTGTTATTACTTAATCCCTGTTGATGTATATAAGTCTGTTCTGTGCTGCATTACTTCACTCTTGCTTGACAACGGTATAAGACTCCATACCTAAACGTCGCATCATATATAATAAAAGAAGTTGTTATCCATAAAGAATCTTACTTTCTTATTGATAGTTGAAGGTAACTGTTGATAATTGGAAGCTGATCACGGATAGTTGAACGTTGAAAAGGGAAGCTGATATTCGGTCATTGTTTGTTGAAAGATCATAATTGAAAGCTAATAATTGAAAGTTGAAAAAGATACCTACGTGCAGGTTTTTGAGTAGCTGCACATCTTCCTTATACTTGTGGTAGCTGTCACAGGCAACGTTCCCAGTATCTCCGTTTTCCACGTCGTGTGTGGTGCGTACCAGTGTGTCCCAGATACTCTCACCTTTGCCTGCAATTAAACAGAGACAATGCTTCATAATTAAGCTATGTTTGGACCTTATAACTGGAGGTTGTATCAAACTGAGAAAGTTTAATATGTGATCAAGTTGGCTGTCAACCGCAACATTGCAGTAAGAGTGCCTCCGACCGCCTCCGTGGTATAGTGTTTAGAGCGTCCGCCCGGAGAGCGGAACGTCGCGGGTTCGATCCCCGACCGCGTCATACCAAAAGACGTTAAAATATGATACCTGCTGGTTCCTGTCTGGCGCTCGGCATTAATGGGTACAACAAGGAGTGTGAGTGGGGTATTCATGCCTCACTGTGGCATGGTATCTCAGTGGGCTAGCACTATAAAACCAGCTTATGTCTGGGCTAGTACAAGCAGCCGCACATACACACGCATGCACGTCGTCATATGAGCGAAATATTCTCAAGCACGACGTTAAACCCAATTTCACCCCACCTCACCTCACCCCACCTCACTACCACGTCCCCAAGTTAAACAGTATATAAATAACTAAACTTTAACTAACTAGCCTTCACAAAATGACCCCTTGTTCATTAAAACATTGATTGCATGGATGTCATTGCAACTAGAAACTCTTGGATCCATAGTCAGCACATTGTTGAAATTTAAGCCTTACATTTTGAATTCAAATTTATACATCGCTAGGGGCGGTGGGGTAGCCCAGTGGTTAAATCATTTGCTCGTCACGCCGAAGACGAGGGTTCGATTCCCCACACGGGTACAATGTGTGAAGCCCATTTCTGGTGTCCCCCACCATGATTCTGCTGGAATATTGCTAAAAGCGGCGTAAAACCATACTCACTCACTCCACATCAATATACAAAGCGAAACGGCTCATACGAACGTTTCGATGCACGCTCTTGAAGCTTTTTCCTGATTTGGATCAAATTTAATAGAACATTTAAATTACCAAAACAAAGTTTCATTTGAAGAATATGTATTGTTTGGAATATATAAGAAAGTTAGCGTTGGCCTTGTTATTGATTCGAGGCTGTGGGGTAGCCTTATGGTTAAAAGCGTCCGCTCGTCACACTGACGACCCGGGTTCGATTCCCCACATGGGTACAATGTGTGAAGCCCGTTTCTGGTGTTCACCGCCATGATATTGCTGGAATATTGCTAACAGCTACGTAAACCCATACTCACTCTATCGTTATTGATTCATCCTGACAAAACACTGGCCTACTTGATGAGCATGTGCGGTTTTATGCCGTTTTAGCAATATCGCATCCCTCTCACAGCGGGGAACACCATATTGATTATTATGTACTTATGATATACATGTGAACTGACGGTATACGATATACTGATTTGGAAGTGTTACACAGTGAGAGAGGTACCTCTGATTATTGTCTAATATAAAACTATGAACATTACCTAAACAGAAAAAATGTTAATTTACGACAATATAGGTTTCAGCGCGGTATCGATGTTGACTGATCAGGTTTTAACTTGTCATCTATGTAATATTTCTTGAGGGAGAGTGAGGGAGTTTAGTTTTACGCCGCTTTTAGCAATATTCCCGCAATATCACGGCGGGGAACACCAGAAATAGGTTTCACACATTGTACCATATGGGGATTCGAACCTGGGTCATCAGCGTGACGCTTTAACCATTGTGCTACTCAATTATCATCAGGGTTTCATCAAGCCAAAGCAACAATATCTTTTTCGTTTTAAAACAACAAAATATGAAAAACGTGTTCAACCATGTAAATGTGAATTATATAGTTTTAAAATCAACATAATCAAGAAGAATCTGGGAATCGAACAACACAATCATAATTTTCTAGCATGCACCATAAACGCAGATAATTCAAAGCAGCCATCTTGAAAAGTCAATCTAAAAATATAGATTTTTCTGCTGGGGCGGATACCGCTTTTTGAGAAAGGTGTGTGTGTGCGTGCGTGTGTGCATGCGTGTGCGTGCGCGCACTCTGAAGAAAGGGGGGGGAGGTGCACACTTCGTTTTATAAACTTTCAGGACAAAAGGGGTGGGTGCGCACCCGTGCACACACACACATACACGCACACACACACCTCTGGATTCGCCTTTGATTACAACCTGCTAGATATAATACGGAAAACTGGAAATGTTTATGATACCGTCAGCATTCCATCCTCCTTCTATTTGATAAGCAGCAGTAGCTGCAGCCCACGCAAAGTCTTCTGGGAAGGTGTCGTACAGAATGTCGCTATCGTTTTCCATGGGAACAAAACCTGAAGCCACGCCGCCGCGCCCGCTGTACCCTGGGAGGATGCCGTTATCAGACACAATTTGTTTGTAGTAACGAGACGACACGCGAGGTTTGCGAGGCCTCGCAGGGTCCGAGAAGTCGACGGAAAACAATCCACCTTTAAGGCCATAGCCATGTGACCATTCAAAGCAATCCATCAAAGGTCGAGCGATGTAACCGCGGATGTTGCAGTTGTCCGACTGCTGGGCTGAGAAATAATTGAAAACAGAAAGAGGAAAAGAATAATAAATTTTCATCACACGAAATAATGTATTAAACTTATAAATTTAATGAAGTCGCCAAACATAATAATAAACGGGACTTTATGTAGGCTGGCTCAATGGGCGATTTTCGGCCTACATCTGCATCAAATAAAAATATAAACTTCATAGATTTAAATTTACATTTCCAAATTCCTTAGAATTTACGAAATTGAAAACATTATAATACAATAGTCCAACAGTAAAAGTATCCCACTCTTTCTCCCAGTTAGTCCCCAATGGAACTTAATTTGGAGCCCTCTATAAATCCCGGATAAATATCATCTAAAGAAGCGAAAAGTCGCTTGAGCCAGAATAAATTTGGATTAATGTCTTAGTTGGCCGCTAAAACTTCTATGGAATCTTCTTAACTGAAAAGAGATAAGTCCTCCGAAAGTAGAAAATAGAAACAAATTATGATCCAGGAACCAGTTTCACAAAGCGCTCGTAGCTAAACTACGGGAGTTACGATGACCTTAGCGCTACGCTCGCTTTGTGAAATGGGGCACAGGGCCTAGATTTTCGAAGCTCTCTTAGCGCTAAGATAGTCGGAAGCGCCATTCATTAACATTGACTTACGACTATCTTTGCGCTAAGAGAGCTTCGAAAATCTAGGCCCTGAACCATAGTGTGGATGCTACATTCACATGGGATTAAAGATTGTTTTGTACACTGTTCGTTTGCTTGTCTTGGTATAACGATTGCGTATCAGTACGCTGGTTCACTCGTGTTACCTGTCCAGTCTTAACACATAGTGAATGAGAATGGAGTTTTACCGCTTTTAGCTCGCCTCACTTACTGAATACAACCTGTTAACAGGTATTCATGTATTAATTGTTTGCTTAGATGTTTGAACATTGATACAGCCTGAAGACCGTAGTTCGTTATACGATTTTCGACCAAAATATACACGTGTTCGGAGTTTAAAAACAGTTCTATATAAGCGTGTTTGTCATAAACATAATTTACTGCATGTGTATCCGCCAGTTCGATATAAAAGTATTCGTCAGAAGCGTAATTTACAGTATGTGTATCCACCAGTTCGATATAAACGTGTTCAACACAAACGTAATTTACTGCCTGTGTATCCGCCAGTTCGATATAAAAGTATTCGTCAGAAACGTAATTTACAGTATGTGTATCCGCCAGTTCGATATAAACGTGTTCACCATAAACGTAATTTACTGCATGTGTATCCGCCAGTTCGATATAAAAGCGTTCGTCAGAAACGTAATTTACACTATGTATATCCGTCATTTCGACATAAGCGAGTTCGTTATAACCGTAGTTAACTCTATGTTCAACCACCCTATGCCTCACCCTTCAAGACTTGATTAACATGCCACTTGAAGAAGTCAATGCGGTGAGTGTCCCGCAGTGTGGCATTCTCTGTGGCAATCCCACCAGTCACATATATCCCCACTGAGGTGGTGTTCTTGACGTAATTCAGGAATGACCTCACCGAGTCCCTATAGGGTTGAAAAATATGTTGTTATCTTAGAGTCGCCGATGTGTCCTAATTGCAAATTGTTAAAACGTAATTTTAAACTGCATTCTTGTTGTCTTAAGAACATGAATGTGTCTATAATTGCAAATTGTTAACATTCAACTATGTTCTTGTTATCGTAAAAACGGCCATGTATCCATGATTGCAAATTGTTAAAAAGAAATATGAAACTAAATTTTATGGATTTACAAGCCTGACCAGAGCTATTCTGGGATCTCAGCCATGAATTTATTGTTTCACTGACTGACTGACTGAGTTTAGTTTTACGCCGCTTTTAGCCATATTCCAGCAATATCACGGCGGAAGACACCAAAAATGGGCTTCACACATTGTGCCCATGTGGGGAATCGAACCCGGGTCTTCGGCGTGACGAGCCAACGCTTTAACCACTTGGCTATCCAACCGCCCTATTGTTTCAAAGAAGTTACAGATCAAATGAACATTAAGTACAACAATATGAGTTGTACTACATAACTGACTGTTCTTGTACACACGCACAGGAGACCCTCAAAACCCCTGAGTGAATGAGTTTAGCTTTACGCCGCTGTTAGCAATATTCCAGCAATATCACGGCGGGGCTTCACACACTGTACCCTTTGATGGGAATCGAACAAGGGCCTTTGTTGTAACGAGGCGAACACTTTAACCATTAGGCTACCACTTCCATCGCCCCTCGTGCTTTATTTACTTACTGGCATCGTACAATGGGCTTCCTATGACGATGGAAAGGGTTTTTGTTTAGAATACCCTCTCCCTGGTATGTACATAGGTAATTTAGATTCCTGTAAATTTAGAAGGCAAATAGTGGACAAGAAAGTATGATAAGTAAAAGAGATAGAGCTTATACAGAATAATATCGATATGCTATACAAATCGTTTTGTCGTACATTGGGCTTTCTAAGACGATGGAAAGGGTTGCATAGATTACTTGACAGCAGATAGGAATGTTGTGCCATACTGCACTGATGAAGGATATATGGCAACTGACAAAGGAAATATGATGAATACATGTATATCAATGTTAAAAGTAACCTACTCTGGCCAATAATCAAGCTTGACCACTCGCAAGTCTTGGTCATCCATGTAGTTCGGAGGGTCACTTGGTCGTGGTTTATGACTCACATTGAAGACACCGTTGACTGTGACCACCAGGAAATCTGTTGTTTCTGTAAGTACAGAAGGACCCGTGTCATTACATACTAGCCACATAAAGAAACTGTGCACACAGAAAATGCCTTCATAATTGGAATACAACACAGCAAAGACTAAATGATGTGGACACGTTATAAGCTGAAGTATCTGACCACAAGAAAATGTCAAAAGAACATGAACAATATCCGTAACGATGACGTCATAAGTTCAAAATCGAGAAGGGGGTCACACGACGAAGTCACAAAGTCAATAACGGGTATGACCACCGTGTGCGTGAAACACAGCAGTGCATCGAAGACGCATAGAGGCTAGCAAAAGAGCATTGAAGGACTGGGGAATGGTCTGGGGCGTGGTCACTGCTGTCTGGAACCTGTATCTGAGATGAGTCACCCGAATCCATCTGTCCTGTCTTGGCGTCGTTACGTCGGGAACGCTCAGAACGTGGGTGGTCGGCGACGTCATTACTGTTTCGATAAAGCCTGACCCATGCAGATATCGTGTTACGATGGCACTGGAAATGTGCTGCCACCTGTTGTTGGCTCATTCCTGCTCGAACCATTCCAATGGCTTCATGACATTGAGCAGATGTTAATCTTGGCATGATGTGCATGTGACTTCTCATGTGAATTGGTGAACGTTTGAATGACCAAAGATCAAGCTTTCGACAGTGACAGCAATTTCAGAGTTTCACATGTTGTGTGCAGCTGTACGGGCTGCACGTGCAGTAACACATTGCAAGGCCTTAGGCCACCGTCAATGACGTCACGTCGCCTTGCACGTGCATGAGCATTTGATTGTCTCCAATACTTGCTATGTTCACAAATGTATTTATGTATAAATACGCTGTGTGCCTATATTTATATTTTCTGTGTGCACAGTTTCGTTATGTGGCCAGTATACAAATGTCTTTGACTTTAAACTAATAAATCTATCTAATAGATCAATTATTTTAAACAAGAAATGGTTTGGATATTTCAGATAATACTTAGACAGACGTAGAACATATAGATTAAAGTACTCACTAAACATTAGCAATAAGGAAGCTTTTAAATCAATAATGTTCATTTAAGATAAGCCATCAGCAAAATATACTCAGCAGCAAAAAAACGTCAGTACGAATTCAAAATTAGATAGGCACTGTAATCAAATCATTACAGAAATTGACAAAATAAGCGGATCAAAAACATGGTTTGTGTACAATATTGTGACACATCAATGAATAACTCAGCACAAATTCAAGACATTACGTGAACGTTTGCAGTCCATTCAGACTCTTAACTTCAGTATCTAGTGTGACCACCACGAGCGGCAATAACTGCAGCACAGCGTCTATGCATGGAGTGAACCAACCGATTGATGAAGGCCATTGTCACCTGGAACCACACTCTGAGAAAGGTCTGGCGCAAGAAATCGGCTGTGTTCGGCCTTAGTATGACATGATTCAGTCTCCTCTGAATTTCATCCCAAAGATGTTCAATTGGGTTTAAATCGGGACTAGGGGCTGGCCACTGCATAATGCTGACACCGTTCTGCTGTAGGAAGTCCCGTGTAGCTCTGGCAGTATGGGCCCGGGCGTTATCATGCTGGAAAATGTTGCTCCGGTGACGTGCGAAATGTGGTATGACGTGGGGTCTGAGAGCTTGGTCGATGTAGCGCACCGCTGTGATGCCGCCTCCTCTCCCTGGACCAAGGGTCTGGAACACCACAGGACCCACTATCTGGTTCAGGCCTATTCCACCCCATACCATGATGCTTGCACCTCCCCATGAGTCTCTTTCCATAACACATTGGTCTGAGTAACGCTGGCCACGTCGTCGCCATATTCTTGTTCTGCCATCTGCAGTTGATACGCAGTACCGACTCTCATCTGTGAACAGAACAGTTCTCCATTGCCTGTATCGCCAGTTTTGGTGTTGTAGGGCAAACTGTAGACGTTCACGCCGATGACGATGGGTGAGGATAGGTCCACGGTAAGGTCTACGGCAATGGAGGTTCCCGCTGTTAAGACGTCGGCGTACTGTATCAGTACTGATTGGTCTTCCGTGTGTTCCCACTGTCTGGCGTGCTGTTTCGGATGCCTGCATGAAGGGATTCTGTACATGCTGTCGCACAACATGGCGGTCTTGTCGTCTTGTGGTCACCCTTGGTCAGCCAGTACGGGGGCGATCATTTGTGGTGTTGGTGGCCCGGAAACGTTACTGCAGCCTGTAGATGGTCCGAACGTTGACCTGGAAGTGATTGGCAATGGCTTGTGCAGTGTGGCCAGCTTCAAGTCTTCCTAGCGCCTGGTCCCTCTGAGCTGTCGTGAGTCGCGGCATCCTGCTGACGTTGTAACGTGAATGTTTCAACCAGGTTTGGGGTGCATTTTATAGGGCTGGTCCTTGTGAACAGCACGTGCAGCATGAGTTGCATGAAAAACATTGAGAACATTGTACCATCTCCGAGATCAGGTTGCGTTTTTGAGACCATTTCCTGGGTTCCATTCTGAGTTTGGGAAGGAATGTCTATGCTCAGGTAAAGTTGGAGATGTTGTCAAAAATATACAATCAAAACATTAACTGAATTTACAGTTATCCGTTTCTGCGAAGGAAAATTGCAAACTGACGTTTCTTTTGGTGCCTTGTATATTTGACTACAATATTTCTTCATTTATTATTATACCACCTATACCTTTTTCCGTTTCATCCATCCAACCAATTATTCATTCATTCACCATGGTAAACGGCATTAGAACAACACTTATTAAAGATAATATGTGTATTAGTGGTGTGGCGATTCATCGATACGTATCGATCCATGGGCCGCCGATACAGTGAATCGATACAAAGTTTTACACTGTCGCATTTCCTGATACGATACTTCCAATGGGCCACGATACATCGATGTTAGATTTAGAATATTGCCGAATCGAGATATCTGTTAAGATATACTGTTTTTAAAATCAGCACAAATTTCATTCTATTATGTGACAGCAGTAACTTCATCCAGCAAAATGCAGTCTGAGATATTAAAGGTGTTTTCGATCTATGCTTTCTGTTTATAGCAGTATTGTGTTTTATTTGTTTTGTACTTGTTTTTGTAAAAAAAGTGACTAATATGACTTTTTTCAAATTAAACTTTCCTTCATTTAAACATTGTTTTTTGTTTTGATCCTAAGATGTTTTATAGTTGGTGTTAGAATTAGCATCGTGATACGTATAGTATCGCCACCCGATATCGGGATTCGTATCGTATCGCAGCTTTAATGCACAATACTTTGGCAATAGATCGTGACTAAAACTTTAGTATCGTGATGTATTGTATCGCAGGTTGTATGCCAATACCAATACTAATGTGAATACGGGTGGGTTTTTTAAATTGATGTTGTTATTAACAACACATCACTTTATTTCACCAGATTCTCCCCGTACGGCTGTTCCGTTTTATTCCTTCCTTCCTTCATTCATTCATTTTCCAGTTAAGACATGGCAAATCATCACGGATACACTAGGACTTACGGTTGGATGAAGCTGGATAATCCTGTATCTGGGGAAGTCTGGATGGCACCCCGTATGATTGACTCTTCATCTCAACCTGACTCGTCATGTTATCAGGGTAGCTACCCGTGGTCAAGGGTGACAGGAACCACCCGAGGTCAAACTGAAGCGCTCTGTCACTGGCACCGACGTCATCAGGATTCCTCGGATCCTGGGGCTGGTATAAGTTGGTTGTTAACGATATACCCAGCTGACCTGCGTTGGGAAAAATGAATTATTGGCTTACAGTGAAACCTTGTTAATCTGGTACCTGTTATACCGGCAATCCGTTTTATGAGTAATAACAATGATAATGTGCCTATTCATATAGTGTTTAAATCTAACGACACAGTGTAAGTCGTAATATGGTGTGTCCGTTAAACGTGCAAAACAGATCACACGTTCGTTCAATGATACATCAACGGCAATACGGTCATGGGGTGGGTAGCCTAGTGGTTAAAGCGTTCGTACCGCCTAAGACCCAGGTTCGATTCCAAACATGGGTACATTCCGATAGACAGTTCCATGTTACTGATGGTTTGCTTGAGACTCAAGAAGAAACACTGACAGTGTCCTATTTTACCTCCTGAAGGCTTAGCTGTGAACGCATCAAGTGCTTTTCTGTGAGCCCGGAGCAAGTTATTGGCAGCGATGTAGGGGTTCCACCCTGGTTCATATCTTCCTGGGGGTGCCGTGCCCTCCCCGTAACCTCGCCACGCTACGCCCCTGGGGTCATGCATTGATATCCAGTACTTCACCTGCAATGTTCAATTTAAAAATACATTTGTACATCACAGAGTTAACCATTTGCTTGGATTTACACTTTCTCGGTAAAGCACAAATCCTAGTACTTTTTTATACTTTTGTTGAGTCCCATCCAGGATTCGAACCCACACTGTCAGAGTCAGGCACCTAATCGCAAGCACACAGTCAAGTGGAAGCGGATTACATTGCTGACTAGAATCTGTACTTTACGGAGGAAGTGTTATCCCAATTTAGCATATGTTACATTTCACTACTTTCTAAATGACATTGTGTATTCACATCATAGATTTTAAAAAAAATACAGAATCATATTGGGAGAATGTCGTTTATAAGAGTCTTTTTTCCTTATTTCGGACAAATAATTCACATAAAATTGTTGGCCAAGCTGTATGAGTGAAATGGAAATAAAACTATTTGTAGTACAGTGTTACCTGCGTTCCAAATTCTGTGAAACATTGCTCCGCGTATTTTCCAAAGACGTCGATGATGTCCTCATTCAACCACCCTCCTCGTCTCTCTAGAAACTCCGGGAGGTCGTAGTAGTACAACGTCACGTAGGGCTCGATGCCGCTGCTGCGTAGGGCCTTGAAGATGTTGTTGTAGTAGGTGACGCCCTGTGGGTTTACACTTGTTCTGTTGAGCATGACGCGAGACCAGGACAATGACATGTGGTACGACTTCACCTGGTAAAGAAACATAATATATATTTTGTAGTGACCATCTAGTGATCAATCCTTTGACTTTTTATATATAGGAGAAATCACGCCCACGAGGTTTTGGTAGAGAATGTAAAACCGAGGGAGGAGGGAAATCCCAAGGGGATTTAGGGGCTCGGTGGCCGTGAGGTAGAGCGTCAGCTTAATCACCTGACAGATGCGGTTCTAATCCTGCTTGGGAAAACATTTGCACTTTGAAACTGATCTTGGACGATATTTTTCAATTGATTTCAAACACCCATATATTATTTGAATGTTGATGTTCAAAAAGAGTTAGAAAAAAATAAAATCTGGGAAGAGATCCTACTTACTAAAAGTAAAACCTGGGAAGAGGTCTTACTTAGAAAAAGTAAAACCTGAGAGCAACCAAAAACCTCAAAATGCGGTTATTCCGGGAAAGGAAGAGATGCTTAATATATAGTGAGTAGCACACTTCAGGTTTATATTGGATGTTTAACAGCCCCACCCTGCATGACATTGATCTGTAAATAACAGGGTCTAATCGACAGTTCTTTGTGTGTGTGCGTGTTCGTGTGTGTGTGCGTGCATAGTTTCGTGCGTGATGTGTGTAACGTGTGTGTCTGTTTTAGCTTTGTGGTTAAAGCGTTTGTTCATCACGACGGAAAAAACTCATGTTCGATTCCCAACATGGGTACAATGTGTGAAACCGATTTCTAGTGTCCCCCGCCGTGATATTGCTGGAGTATTGCTAATAGCAGCATAAAACTAGACTCACCCCCTTAACCGTAGTTCGTAAAACTCATTTCGTTTAAAGCATACATCAAGTAGCCAAAAGAACAACCAGTTCGTTATAACGGTGTTTGTTTAAACTTAGTTAACTGTATGTTTGAACAAACAGAGAAACGATTACCCCCATCTCGCTGAGCATGTTGATGTCCTCGCTGTAATTGCTGTAGCTGTTTGCTGCAATGTCGCCCGTGTCTCCTTGGTCTGTTTTGCCGGGCGTGTGAGAGAATACATCCCACACACTGGGACTGCGACCTGTGTGAGGAACAAGTGAGGTTTAGAGTGAGGTTCACTAACAAAGATTCTCAGTGGCTGCACAGCGAGTGAGTGTGTTTAGTTTTACGCCACTCTCAGCAATATTCCAGCCATATGGCGGCGGTCTTTAAATAATCGAGTGTGGACCAGACAATCAGGTGATCAACAGTATGGGCATCGATCTACGCAATTGGGATACGATAACATGTGTCAACTAAGTCAGCGAGCCTGACAACCCGATCCCGTTAGTCGCCTCTTACGACAAGCATGGTTGCTGAACCCTGATCTTCACGGGTTCGGCTGAACAGAAGCATGAGGAAGCGTTTGCCCAATCACAGATTTATCAAACAATTGTCGATTAGGGCGTAAAACTCTCAACACAAGAAGGTAAAGTCGCTTTCAAAACCGTTGAGCTTCCAGTTTTTAAAGTGTTTTTCTTTCAAATTTTTAACATCTTTTTTATTTAAAACAATATATTTACCTTCAGACATGCAATGTAATTATGTCTTAGATGTTTATTTTAGTTGTCTATTTTTTAGGAAAATGAATTTTAATGTGTAGCTGTTGATTTCAATGTCCCATGCTAATGTACAATTTTTTATCTATTTATTTTTTTATTTATTTATTTATTATTATTATTATTATTTTTAATAAGGGGAAGGGAATTTGATTTCAAGAGGAAACATCTATCACGTCTCGAGATTATGTGGACAACGTGTTATTAGAAGAAGCCACGATGAATACTTTACACTTACATTCTCTTGTGATGTACCTTCTGAAACTTATAGAATAATGAACAGATTTTTAATCACAGGATTAGGCTCTTATTCAAGTTCAGCGAATGTATTTTGAGAACTATCTATTGCTGCAATATACGAATGGCTTTTAACAACAAATACAAACATTCGCCAGGGTGCAACTTTCCTTTTACAACATTTACTTGCATCCCTGTAAATGATTGTGTCTCCTCAAATCGTTCCCTTGATGTGTTTAAATAAGTATTGACCTTAACTGTACCATGGAAATATATCAACTGGTATTTTTAAAGACGATAATTTTATGGATGTCTAATTCTACATTTTCAGGAACGTTTCGGAGAGTATACTTACTCCCTCATCATCTGATGAAGGAGTAAGTGTAATATATTCCGAAACGTTGTGTGTATCGTTGTTGTGTTCATGAGTTGATGAAGGAGTAAGTGTAATATATTGTTGTTGTGTTCATCATCATCTGAAGAAGGAGTGAGTGTATACTCCAAAACGTTGTGTTTCTTCTCGTTGTTTGGTTCATGAACTGATGAAGGAGTAAGTGTAATATATTCCGAAACGTTGTGTATATCGTTGTTGTGTTCATCATCTGATGTAGGAGTAAGTGTATTATTATATATTCGAAACGTTGTGTGTATCGTTGTTCTGGTCATGAGCTGATGAAGGAGTAAGTGTGATATATTCCGAAACGTTGTGTGTATCGTTGTTGTGTTCATCATCTGATGAAGGAGTAGTGTATACTTCGAAACGTTGTGTGTATCGTTGTTGTGTTCATGATCTTGATGAAGGAGTAAGTGTGATATATTCGAAACGTTGTTGTATATCGTTGTTCTGTTCATGAGCTGATGAAGGAGTAAGTGTATACTTCGAAACGTTGTGTGTATCGTTGTTGTGTTCATCATCTGATGAAGGAGTGAGTGTATACTGCGAAACGTTGTGTATATCGTTGTTGTGTTCATCATCTGATGAAGGAGTGAGTGTATACTCGAAACGTTGTGTATATCGTTGTTGTGTTCATCATCTGATGAAGGAATAAGTGTAATTTATCATCCAAATCTGTGTTCTACAGGAGATATCGCTTGTTGTGAGATCAAACGATATCTCCCAGGAGATATCGTTTTGATCAGTAGATTTTGTACAATGCCCTGACAATGCTATGACGTCATGTGTTCATAACGTCACAATGCTATGACATGGCTGCAAGTCTAATGGCACAACCATGTTCAGAGATGTACATCGTTTTCATTGAAAATTAATGAAGAGTGATTTTGAATGATAAATAGAATCTCACCCTCGTGTCTTCTGATATCTATTATATCAACACTCGTTGATAAAGAAAAAAATATCCTCGGCAAGCCTCGGATATTTGTAACTGTATCAACTCGTGTTGATATAATACATATCAGAAGACAAGGAGTGAGTTCTCTATATTCGAAACGTTGTGTGTATCGTTGTTGTGTTCATCATCTGATGAAGGAGTGAGTGTAGACTGCGAAACGTTGTGTATGCATCGTTGTTGTGTTCATGAGCTGATGAAGGGTAAGAATATACTGCGAAACGTTGTGTGTATCGTTGTTGTGTTCATCATCTGAGAAGAAGTAAAGTGTAATATTCCGAAACGTTGTGTGTATCGTTGTTGTGTTATCATCATCTGATGAAGTAAGTGTAATATATTCCGAAACGTTGTGTGTATATCGTTGTTGTGTTCATCATCTGATGAAGGAGTAAGTGTAATATATTCGAAACGTTGTGTGTATCGTTGTTGTGTTCATCATCTGATGAAGGAGGAGTGAGTGTATACTGCGAAACGTTGTGTGTATCGTTGTTGTGTTCATGAGTTGATGAAGGAGTAAAGTGTAATATACTGCCGAAACGTTGTGTGTATCGTTGTTGTGTTCATCATCTGATGAAGGAGTGAGTGTATACTGCGAAACGTTGTGTGTATCGTTGTTGTGTTCATCATCTGATGAAGGAGTAAGTGTAATATATTCCGAAACGTTGTGTATATCGTTGTTGTGTTCATCATCTGATGAAGGAGTAAGTGTAATGTATTCCGAAACGTTGTGTGTATCGTTGTTGTGTTCATCATCTGATGAAGGAGTAAGTGTAATATATTCCGAAACGTTGTGTGTATCGTTGTTGTGTTCATCATCTGATGAAGGAGTGAGTGTATACTTCGAAACGTTGTGTGTATCGTTGTTGTGTTCATCATCTGATGAAGGAGTAAGTGTAATATATTCCGAAACGTTGTGTGTATCGTTGTTGTGTTCATCATCTGATGAAGGAGTAAGTGTATACTGCGAAACGTTGTGTATATCGTTGTTGTGTTCATGAGTTGATGAAGGAGTGAGTGTATACTGCGAAACGTTGTGTGTATCGTTGTTGTGTTCATCATCTGAAGAAGGAGTAAGTGTATACTGCGAAACGTTGTGTATATCGTTGTTGTGTTCATGAGTTGATGAAGAAGTAAGTTTAACTCATTCCGAAACGTTGTGTATATTGCTCTGAGACGTTGTGTTATGTATCGTTGCTGTGCTCATGATCTGATGAAGGAGTAAGTGTATACTGCGAAACGTTGTGTATATCGTTGTTCTGTTCATGAGCTGATGAAGGAGTAAGTGTATACTCCGAAACGTTGTGTGTATCGTTGTTCTGTTCATCATCTGATGAAGGAGTAAGTGTATACTCCGAAACGTTGTGTATATCGTTGTTCTGTTCATGAGCTGATGAAGGAGTAAGTGTATACTGCGAAACGTTGTGTATATCGTTGTTCTGTTCATGAGCTGATGAAGAAGTGAATACATACTCCGAGGCGTTGTGTTCGTCATAATAAAAACGTTGACATCCATACAACACTCTCTTCCTGATGTGTATCACATCTAAATGCAATTCAAAGGCCACGTGTTTTTAAGAAGTTCATTAGTTCACTGTTTATTAGTCGTGAGTTAAGTGAGTGAGTGAGTGAGTTGGGATTTACAAAATATCAGGAAGTGTTGGCTTCATGAGTTTCATGTGAGCGATCCTGTGGTGACACCGACGAGCTGTTGAGATGCAGACACACAGAGCAGGACCGCTGGTTTCTTCAAAGGGAACTGCCGACTCAGGGATGACAGCCCCACCCGATCATGGCTCCAGGAGATTGCAAACATATTACAGACACATTTCCATATGCGAGCAACTTAGAACAAGATCACTTGTGATTTACTAACTGATAAGACATATTTCAAGCAGTTTGACATTATGTGCGTTTATCTGCTTCGCGACAACGGCCTTCGAATTGTTGTTGACCTCTGTCCAGAAATCAGTCCCGAATGAAGCATAATGGACACCACACCCACAGTGATCCCAGCTTTTCGGGACCACCTTTGTCCGGAAAGTACTTATTATTCTAATACGTCCATTATATATTCAGCTGGACATTTCTGGGTCTAGTTATGTAACAAACGGTACAACTCTGTATCTGGAATTAAATGGACATCATTGCGGTTATTGCGTTTAGAGTTGGTTGGTTGGATGGTTTGCTGTTTAACTAATTGAGTAGATCGATGCTCATGATGTTGATCACTGGATTGTCTGGCCCAGATTCGATTATTTACAGACCGCCGCCATGTAGCTGGAACGTTGCTGAGTGCGGCGTAAAACAACAAACAAACACATACAGGTTACTGATTATACATGTTTTTGTTACATTTTGTTACAAAATAAGGTCGATACATGTCACACAGTGCACCTTCAACAATAAATAAGAAGATTTTTAAATGTTTACTCTCTTTATCTGACAAGTCTAGAACAATAAATCTTTGAATTTCGTTTCAACTTTCAAGTTCCATGTTGACACTTATCGGTTGGCGTACAAAGTCCGTAGAGCGATCTGTGATAATGTGTTTTGTCATTGTGCCTAAGCAGTCAGTTCTACTGAAACGGGACAACGTCAACATGACCTACATTCTTTCGGGACGTTGTTAGGTTGAAGACGCAACCCCAACTACCTGTTGGTTGGCTTGCTGTGGGACGAACAGCTGTCTTTGACATGTGAACTGTTAAAGAGCGGGTCACCTGACTGTCTGGTACTCCTGCACTTGTTGCTAAGGTCTTATCTAGTTTCGTTCTCCTCGTCACGTACTGAATGTATCAAACATTTAGATGAATATGTGTTGATTAATATATTTTTAATTTTTCTAAAGCATTGGAACCTTGGAAGTCCAGTACCCTGGGAATGCGGACTTCTGGATGATGTTGTCAGAACAGTCCGTACCATGACACATTAATCATGGTACTCCCATTCAATCATGATACTCTCCGTGGTGGCGTGTGGTCCTGTGCGTAGAGCTCAGGTCACAAATCAGTTGAAGTTAAAGTAACGTTGTGCGCGGAGAGTGCTTGGATGGGTGACCATGTTTGGCAACCTGACTCCTGAAAATATCTAGGACTTCAGTCCTGCCCCACAACGAAGCACATGTGATAAATGTGGTCTCATCTTGCTTAGCAAAATGTGTTTGTTCAAAATTGCCTTTGTTCACCCAGCAGAAAGTGGGTACCCGGTGGGATAAGTCATGTGACTAATAACCTATCGCCTCACTGTCAGGGTTGGGCTATCCGGGATAATAATAGTCAGATTGTTAGCGCTATGAGCACCTAGTGAATGGAGCTTGGCGTATTATAAATGCACTTATCATTATATCTGGTTATTTATTTTTAACAAAAATGTAGATTTTATTACATATTATTTTGGATGTATATAACTTTGAATGCTAAATATGGGTGCTATCATAATGTATTAGAAATTGGATACTTGTACCTTGCCTTATAGATAGATCTAAAGAAGCAGATTACTTGGAGGATTGCCATTTGTCAAAGGTTTTCCGTGGTATCAAAGAGTCGATTGAACGCACTGGTGGGTTCGATGTGCACATGTTCCCGCGTGTTTTGACGTCCAACAGCTGCACTGATATCTTGCTCAGCGTGATGTACGACCATAGCTACAGAGGTGCCATTGACGTATTTACAGCACTGTTCATAACTGACATTTTTTAGGACAAGACTCGTACCATCGATCCCCTATGGTAGTTGGGTACGAGTAGTTTTACGCCGCTTTTAGCAATATTCCAGCAATATCACGGCGGGGGACACCAGAAATGGGCGTCACTCATTGTACCCATGTGGGGATTCGAACCCGGGTCTTCGGCTTGACGAGCCAACGCTTTAACCACTAGACTACCCCACCGCCCCTATTGCGTTTAGAGTTGGTTGGTTGGATGGTTTGTTGTTTAACTAATTGAGTAGGCCCAATTGTCTGGCCCAGATTCGATTATTTACAGACCGCCGCCATGAAGCTGGAGTTTTGCTGAGTGCGGCGTAAAACAAAAACAAAACACATGCAGGTTACTGATTATGCATGTTTTTGTTACATTTTGTTACAAAATAAGGTCGATACATTTCACACAGTGCACCTTCAACAATGACTAAAATAAATAAGACGATTTTTCAATGTTTAATCTGTTTATCTGACAAGTCTAGAACAATAAATCTTTGAATTTCGTTTCAACTTTCAAGTTCCATGTTGACACTTTTCGGTTGGCGTACAAAGTCCGTAGAGCGATCTGTGATAATGTGTTTTGTCATTGTGCCTAAGCAGTCAGTTCTACTGAAACGGGACAACGTCAACATGACCTACATTCTTTCGGGACGTTGTTAGGTTGAAGACGCAACCCCAACTACCTGTTGGTTGGCTTGCTATAGGACGAACAGCTGTCTTTGACATGTGAACTGTTAAAGAGCGGGTCTGGTACTCCTGCACTTGTTGCTAAGGTCTTATCTAGTTTCGTTCTCCTCGTCACGTACTGAATGTATCAAAAATTTAGATGAATATGTGTTGATTAATATATTTTTAATTTTTCTAAAGCATTGGAACCTTGGAAGTCCAGTACCCTGGGAATGCGGACTTCTGGATGATGTTGTCAGAACAGTCCGTACCATGACTCATTAATCATGGTACTCCCATTCAATCATGATACTCTCCGTGGTGGCATGTGGTCCTGTGCGTAGAGCTCAGGTCACAAATCAGTTGAAGTTAAGTAACGTTGTGCGCGGAGAGTGCTTGGATGGGTGACCATGTTTGGCAACCTGACTCCTGAAAATATCTAGGACTTCAGTCCTGCCCCACAACGAAGCACATGTGATAAATGTGGTCTCATCTTAGGCAAAATGTGTTTGTTCAAAATTGCCTTTGTTCACCCAGCAGAAAGTGGGTACCCGGTGGGATAAGTCATGTGACTAATAACCTATCGCCTCACTGGCAGGTTGGGCTATCTGGGATAATAATAGTCAGATTGTTAGCGCTATGAGCACCTAGTGAATGGAGCTTGGCGTATTATAAATGCACTTATCATTATATCTGGTTATTTATTTTTAACAAAAATGTATTTTATTACATATTATTTTGGATGTATATAACTTTGAATGCTAAATATGGGTGCTATCATAATGTATTTGAAATTGGATACATGCACCTTGCCTTATAGATAGCTCTAAAGAAGTAGATTACTTGGAGGATTGCCATTTGTCAAGGTGTCCGTGGTATCAAAGAGTCGATTGAACGTGGGTTCGATGTGCACATGTTCCCGCGTGTTTGACAACCAACAGCTGCACTGATATCTTGCTCAGCGTGATGTACGACCATAGCTACAGAGGTGCCATTGACGTATTTACAGCACTGTTCATAACTGACATTTTTTTAGGACAAGACTCGTACCATCGATCCCCCTATGGTAGCTGGGTACAGTACGACGGTGGTGTTGGCGGTGGTGATGGTGGTGGTGAGGTGAGGTGAAAGGGGGTTGAACGTCGCACTTAAGAATATTTCGCTCATATGGCGACGTGCATGCGTGTATGTGTGGCTGCTTGTACTAGCCCAGACTTCAGCTGGTTTTATAGTGCTAGCTCACTGAGATACCATGCCGCAGTGAAGCATGAACACCCCACTCAGACACATTATACTGACTCCGAGCCGCCCAGCCCTTGTTGTACCCATTAATGCCGACCAACAAGTGAGTGAGTGAGTGAGTGAGCTTTTACGCCGCTTTTAGCCATATTCCAGCAATATCACGGCGGGGGACATCAGAAATGGGCTTCACACATTGTACCCATGTGGGGAATCGAACTCGGGCCTTCGGCGTGACGAGCGAACGGTTTAACCACTTGGCTACCCCACCACCCCATGCTAAATTAAGCGCGTTGCGACCACCTTAGTGTTGACATCGTTTTGTGGAACGGTCTGCAAATGATAGTGGAAACTATGTTAAGTAAACTACGTTTTTAACGAACACGCTTATAACGAACTGACGGATGTAACGAACAAGGGTTTGTTCCAGGCAATGTTCTGTGGGGCTATTCCAAATGCGTTCGATCAACTGTAAAATGTTAAAAACATTTAACGCCTTTTGGTATGACGCGTCCGGGGGTCGAACACTCGACCTTCTGTTCTCCGGGCGAAACAACTGACAACTAACAAGTACACCACGGAGGCGGTTCTGGTGATGGTGGTGGTAGTAGTAGTAGTAGTAGTAGTAGTAGTAGTAGTAAGTGTAGTAGTAGTAGTAGTAGTAGTAGTAGTGGTAGTAGTAAATGAGTGAAACAGCATGAGCATCGATCTACGCAATTGGCATACGATGACAAGTGTCAACCAAGTCAGCGAGTCTGACCACCCGATCCCGTCAGTCGCCTCTTGCGACAAGCATGGGTTACTGAAGATCAGTTCAACCCAGATCTTCACGGGTAATGGTGTTAGTAAAAAAGTAGTATCAACAGCAACATTTGTAGTATTGGTACTACTAGTAGAACAAGATACCCCTGCTTCACCCTGTGAGTGATTTTAGTTTTAGCAAATCTCCAGCAATATCGCGGCGATTCAAGCAAAACCACGTTACCTTTCTCAAATTCCTCACAATCAAATAACCATTTAAACGCTTCACATTTAACCACAAGACAAGTGTCCTTTTAAACCCCGCGATATTTGAAAAATATTTTCAAAGTACATTTTAACTGACCTGTCTCGATTCAATGATAAATCAGTTGGGATATTTGGAAAGATCTTCACTTACCGTCTTTCCGCCACGCCCCTTCTATCTGACCTGCCGACGTCCCTGCTCCCCACACAAAATCGTCTGAAAACCGTCAAAAAATAACCATTGTCCTCTGTGGGGGAGAGAGACACGGCAAAACCTGTACTGAAGAGGATGAGGATGTGTAGTAGCATCTTCAAATCAACCTCACTTCCTGGTCAGAAGTTGCCTACATCTGCCGTACACAGGGACAGGGGTCCTTGCAAGCTGGGATCTGCCCGGCGTCTCAAGCAAATCCTACTGCGTCCTGATAACACTCCCTATTACTGGTGGTGTAGCGGGATATGTCGCAATCGCTTGAGCATTTAGAAACGAATACCCAGCAGCTTCAGAATGGTATATATCTGTCAGGCAGATATGGTGTACATTATTTATTATTATGTTTGTTTGTTGTTAGCAATATTCCAGCTATATGGCGGCGGTCTGTAAATAGTCGAGTCTGGACCAGACAATCCAGTAATCAACAGCATGAACATATTGTTTAGGAACGATTTCAGTTAACAAATGGACCCCAGTATTTGGTTATTAAAATGTGGATATTTGGACCGAAGATCCAGGTCCAGTTTTTCCTACATAGGTACAATTTATGAAGCCCTTTCAGAAGTTCCCCGTCTTGGTATTACAGGAAAATCACTAAATACTGCAGGAAACTATATCCACTCACTCACTCACTTTACGATGATTAATTTATTGATCATTAAAAGTTTAATAGGTGTTTACACCTTGCCCATCAAGAGGTTTGCTGAGTTTCTAAAATTTCTTAAAGTAGCAATTACATTCTGAATTTCATGACGCACGATATTCCTTGAACATACGAGTCAGCCTATAATAGTTCAATATTGAGGGCTGTAAGAGATTCCACCATTGCCTTAAGTTGAATAACAATTATGATTTGCAATGTAATAAATAATAAGCCACATTATCCAGCTGATTACACATTGTACAATTCGGAGAAATATTTTTTATCAATAATATTAAGACATACTCCAAGACGAAGTCTTGCTTAAAGAAACATAGAGATGGCGTCCAAAATAAAGGAAGAAGCCCATCTCTGTTGCCATTTTGTTTGAGTATGGCTTTTACTGGCCGTGCATAGTTCTGCAGAAGGTAAGAATGTATCATCATCCTGTTCTTCAAAGTCTACTCCTTAGAGAGAAGGACTTAATCACCTTTATACTCGACATTTTTAATGAATTAAGTAACGATCTTTTAGACGTTGAATTGTTGTGGACACCTGCTCATGTTGAACTACTCGGAAATGGAAGGCTCATAAATTGGGAAAAGCTGCTCTCACTTTACGTCCATTTTGTTTATTTTGCTCTCCATGTTCAAGTGTTGATAACGGGCGCTGATTGGTATAAATTGTGTCGGTTTAAGGCATTTCGTTTGCACCAACAGCAAACAAGAAAACACTTCAGAGGATTTGAACGTTTGCATTTGAGACCCACGTAGCCTGTATATATATCAAAGTATATATTAGTCAGAGGGTCTGATCGTCCAACTCAGATTAAAGAGCCCACGCCGTTGGGAAACCCAGGTATTCCATCGCTGCAGGGTGTATTGTCACTGATGATTAATCGATCTCCACCCAGGTCCTGATGGCCTTATATCATGCAATGGGTGAAGTGGACGTATGAGAATACTTACCGAAAAGTTCCAGTCATGCCAACCAGGAATATGTGGGTCAAGGAGAGCCTAGACCATAGATACCCAAACACGCCGTCTTGAGTGAGTGAGTGAGTGAGTGAGTGAGTTTTACGCTGCACTCAGCAATATTCCAGCTATATGGCGGCAGTCTGTAAACAATCGAGTCTGGACCAGACAATCCAGTGATCAACAACATGAGCATCGATCTGCGCAATTGGGAACCGATGACATGTGTCAACCAAGCCAGCGAGCCTGACCACCCGATCCCGTTAGTCGCCTCACGCCGTCTTGAAGTTCATGCTTTGTGTCGGATATTGTTTGTTGTTTAACGCCACACACGGACTTACTGCATGCTTGTTTATTTGTTTGGTCGCGTACCGATCTGTCGAATTTCTGATTTCAGAGTAGTAAAATGCATTCGACGGATCGGCACTGTGATCTTAGCTATTAATTAGTTATCAAAACATTGGATCATACCAAAAGGAAGACGCAAGGGGTGTTGGATGGTCTGACTCTCTATTCTTTTTTACTTTTGTACAAAATTGAAATTGATGCATTAAACAAAATGCATTCATAAGGAGAAATATATAGTTCGTGATGTTCTAACAGGGTTTTTAGCCCAATACAAGCCGACCCCACGGCTTAATTAATAAACTTAGACTCTCCCAGTGTGTTAACACAGTCTGAAATTCGACCGATTAGCACAGAACCACTCAAGCACGATTCGACGGGTCGGCACTGCTGGCTGTTCAAAATTCGACGGATTAGGCCGTAATCTGTTTGTTTGTGTGTTGCTATATGGCGGCGGTCTGTAAAAAGTCGAGTCTGGACCAGCCAATCCAGTGATCAGCATCATGAGCATCAGTCCACGCAATTTGGATACGGTGTGTCAACCACGTCAGCCTTGACCACCCGATCCCGTTAGTCGCCTCTCATGACAAGCATTGGTTGCTGCAGACTATTCTAACGGTGATTTTCACGGGTCTCAAATCAGTTGTTGATTACCGATCATATTATTAAACTAAGGGGCAAAAGAAAGACTACCGAGTAAAACTGAGCTTGACCACACTTTACTGGATGTAACACTGGTCCCAGGACACAAACGATCTTAGAGAAACTATGTTCGTAGTAGGGCTTCCACGGGTACTCGAGTACTCGAGGACGAGTCGGGTTTAGCTGGACTCGAGTCCATTTTCTAGGACTCGAGGACTCGAAAAGGGGAGATAACTCAAATTATTGGGTTACATTGACAGACTGTCTGCCATGTGCTGAGCATGAGCGGCCGTTAACGTCTAATATTAAGATAAGATATAACTTTATTATCCCGGAGGAAATTCTCATACATCCAAACTGTCTCAAAATGAATATGTACACAATTCACAAAAATATACACAATAATTACATGCATAAAACGAAAGCTATTTACACAATAAAACTGACATGATATAATTCAATTAACCACATAGGTAAAGAGGCTGAATAATTCTAGTTGTTATCACATGATGATAATTCAAAATATTTGTTGCATTCACGAATACTTGGTGGTATGAAAGACTGAGGTCTGTTTGTTTTGAGGGAAGGTAATCGACAGCAGCGTCCAGAAAGAAGTACTTCAAAATGGTGAGATAAAATATGTTAACTATCAAATCTAATTTTAGTTGCCTTTTTGACAATCTGGCGCTCATAGATAAAGGGAATATACTCGAAATATTGTTGGCAGTATTAACAATTTTGAAAAGTTTGTTTTTGTTGCGATCAGACAGACCCCCATACCAACATAGAAAATTGTAGGTCAACACACTTTGAATAAAGGTTTGATGAAAACTGTCATTACGGTTTTGTCAATGCCTTGACGATAATAAGGTTCAGAATCAGAAATTAGGCCAGTAACAGTGGCGTCATATGCGAATTTCACAGTAAACAAGTCATTTAATGACAAGTAACAGTCATTGGTATACAAAACGAAGAGTACGGATGAAAGAACACACAGTCCTGTGGAGCTCCAGTAGAGGTTGAGAGGAAAGAGGATTGATAGCCATTGACACTGACATACTGAGTTCTATGTACCCTGAATTCTTTAACCCATCTGATAATGTTTTTATTAACGCCTAGATAAAGTAGTTTACTCCTCATAAGGTGTGGCTGTATGGTATTAGTTGTTAAAGTCTGCAGATGAGAGTAATTATTCAGGGGCGGATACAGCTTTTTGAGAAAGGGGGGGTGCACACTATTGAGAAAAGGGAGGGTGCACACTTCATTTTCACCAGAGTTTCAATGGTCATTTAATAAACTTTCAGGACAAAAGGGGGGGTGCGCACCCCTGCACCCCCCATCTGGATCCGCCTGTGTTATTATACATCGTTTGAGATTTCACTTCCTAAAATGATTAGGTAACTATCTTAACAGACATGGAGAACGATAAAAAATCAAATGTATGGGCGTATCTTGATCTGGATAGTGAAAAGAGAAAAATAACCAAATGCCGCCTGTGCGGTATATCACTGCGTTATGCAGGCAGTATAACCAGTACGATGAAAAAAACAACATTTGGCAAGTAAACATCCAAATACTGATTCTGACCAATAGGAAATGTTAGTCACACGACGATGTGAAGTCGGAAAGAAGTAAGTGTTCACGTGTGTGGTCGGAACACATGTCATGTCGGTTACGCTATCGTTTGTTTGAAAGGTATGAATTTCGAGTACTCGGGTCCGAGTCGAGTCTCACCCCTCGAGTACTCGAGTCCAAGAAAATGGACTCGTTGAAGCCCTATGTTCGTAGGACTATGTTAAGTGCGTTACGACCACCTTAGCTCTAAGATGGCTTTGTGGAACTGGGCCTAGATTTTCGAAACTCTATTAGCGCAAAGAAAGTCGTAAGTGCCATGCATTAACATTAACTTACGACTATCTTAGCGCTAAGAGAGCTTCGAAAAGCTAGGCCTAGGCCTTGGTTTGCAAATGATAGTCGAAACCATATACAGTGAACTACGTTCGGATGTAACGAACTAGGGTTTTTTTCCAGGCAACGTTCTGTGTGGTAATTCAAAATGAGTTTGATCAACTATAGATTGCAAAATAGTGGTTAAAATTTTTAAAATGCATCACTAAAAATCATTGAGGCGTCCTTGAAGTAAGGAGTCCGTTAACAAGGTCGAGTACAACGTGGATTCTCTGGAAAGCCACTTTGAGTTCCTTAAAATCCCCAGGTTACCAGTAACGCCCTTAAACCTTGAACGTCATGACGACTAAACGTGAACGGGGCACACATGGATTGTAGAAACAGAAATAGTTCTCCGACCTGGTGTTTAGCCCTTGCCAATGACCTGAATTTTGATAACACGCCACCCATAGTTTGAGAGTTGGGACGCCAGGTAAGTGTCATCTGTTAGCTTGTACATAGTAGATGAATAATATTTAACAAGTTGTAGTTTCAACAAAATCTGTAAACCCACTCTACTGTCATCGGAAAGCCTGGATCATCACTGGATTGTCTGGCCAAGATTTGATTGCACTCAGGCTGCACTCGAACTGCAGGGTTAGTGATGTGCGGAGTTCGGCAACAAACAAGCGCTTACTTTTCTGCAAATTGTGCTGGTGGTGGGTGCCGCCGGTTGAGAATGACATCCCCGTGAATATCCGGATTAGAATTTGTTTTCATCAACCCGTGCTTATCGTACGAGACGATTAACGAGATCGGGTGGTCAGGCTCGTTGACGAGGTTGACTCATGTCATTCTATCCGAATTGTGTAGAACGATGCTCATGCTGTTGATCACTGGATTGTCTGGTCCAGACTCGATTATTCAAAGACCGTTGTTATGTAGCCTGAACATTGCTGAGTGCGGCGTTTCACAACAATCAATCAATTAATCAATATTTGTTTGCTGTTTATCACCACCTGTTTCATTTATATACCAGACCTCTGTAACCAACTGTAACTGGACCAGACACCCGATCCTGTTAATCGCCCCTACATTCTTGGATTCGAATATTTACACACCGCTGCCCTATTGCTTGAATATCGCTGAATGTGGCGTTAAACAACAAACCATCAATCCAAGAGGATGCCATGTTTATCCTTTTAATGAACACCTGGTGTCATCTGTGATCCGTCTGTCATTTTAGGGGTAGCCTAGTGGTTAAAGCGTTCGCTCGTCACGCCGAAGACCCGGCTTCGATTCCCCACATGGGTACAATGTGTGAAGCAATGTTCTGTTGTCCCTCCGTGATATTGTTGGAATACTGGTAAAAGCGGCGTAAAATCAAACTCACTCACCCCATGTCATTTTGACCGTCTTTTACCCAATAATCTGTTTTGATAGGTAGTGACTGACGTTGTATGAAGGCGATTTTATTTTCGAACCCATGGGGATCTGGAAGAAGGTTCAATTCATCAGGTATTCGAGACAACCGGTTAAGTACATTTTTGAAACAGTAGTTGCATGTATAAGGGTTAATTACAGATCATTCAGTCATCTTTATTTCACTGCACATTTCAGCGTTGATAAGAATTATATTGTATTCTCGCAAACACAAGATGCTCAAGATTTAGTCGGAATTGTATTATCGAGTCTGCTTTTAGCAGAGAATGTTTATGGATGTGGGAAAGGTATTGTCGTTTTGACACGTTTCTACACCAGGGCCTAGACTTTCGAATCTCTCTTAGTGCTAAGATAGTCGTAAGTTAATGTTAATGTATAGCACTTACGACTATCTTTGCGCTAAGAGAGCTTCGAAAATCTAAGCCCTGATCATTCAGATCCCCGAAATAGTTCGGACGTGTCACTGTGTAGAAATACCTTTCTTCATGCATGCTTTTGGTATTCTCAACCAAATTATAGAAACCGTGCCATTCTGCTTTCAGATGTTTGTTTGTTTGTTTAACACCGCACTCAGCAATATTCCAGCTATATTGCGGTGGTAAATAATCGAGTCTGGATCAGACAATCAAGTGATCAACAGCATGAGCATCGATCTACGGAACAGGGATACGATGACATGTGACAACCAAGTCAGCGAGCCTGACCACCCGATCCGGTTAGTCGCCTCTTACGACTAGCATGGGTTGCTGAATATCAATTCTAACCCGGATCTTTACGGGTTCTGGTTTGAGAAACGGATACAACATTGACGTTTACTGGTACTTATCAGAATGGCGTTTAGGGGTGGGTATTGCAGAGAATTTTCATATTGCGATATATTGCGATGCGAAAGCATGTATTGCGATATGTATTACAATATATTGCATGAAGTATTTTTAACAAAAAACTACCTATAATCGAGTTAATGCTTGATTTATAGAGCAAAAGAACACAACAAAATCACTATGCTTGATTAAGCTTTAATAACAACTTTTAATCATGATAAATTAAAAATGTTAACAATATTTGGCACAAATGAAACAAGGAAATATCCGAAGATTTCCGAGTGTTGCGAAGATTTCCGAATGCAAGTCAAAATACCGGTTTTCGATCAGCGTATCGCAATACGTATCGTTTTCACGTCTGAACCGGTAAATACCGGTAAACCGGTTATATTGCGCAGCCCTAATGGCATTTATTTAGTTGCGTTTGTCTACACCCGCTCAACAGGTGCGATCAGCTACCTCGGAAGTCTATGGCGTATATCATGACATAATGACGTCCCATTATGTCTGTCTCACGAATCTGAGACATATATGGAAAGAGTGGAACAACAAGTTACTCATAACTTTTGTATTTCACAAGGTCGGTAAATATGTATGTTTCAAAATCTGCTCTTGGTATTTAGTAATCCATGCCAGAGCATTTCAACGCTTAAAACCAACGTCTAACGACGTCGGTTTCAAATGGAATTTTCAAGCATCAAATACTATAAGGACCGCAAGTATAGAAAACGCCCAGCATTTATCTCCGTATTATCAACGCCCTGCAACTGAGACGGTGACTTTCAGTTTCTACTTTGAGGCTGGTATTCGTGTACACACACTAGCTATTACCAGGACGATCAAGACCGCTGAGTTTACTTTGTGGAGGTCGGGCATGACAACTAAGATAGCAAGGTGGAAACATGCCTACGTTGACGTGCAGTTCAGTCCGCGCTGTAATAGATTATTGGTGTTGAGCTTGAGAGAATCCCTTCACGTATCCTTAATTCCTACAGCACTTGCAATGCGAGTGTTACAGTCAAATATATCTAAAATTATGTTTTAAAAAGTAAAACACAACGTTTATGTTCCAGCATGCTTATGGCTGGAGTGAGTGAGTGGGTATGGTTTTACGCCGGTTTTTAGCAATATTCCAGCAATATCACAGTGGGGGACATAACCAATGAGCTGTACACATTGTACCCATGTTGGGAATCGAACCCTGGTCTTCGGCGACGAGAGGACGGTTTAGCCACTAGGCAACCCACCGCCCCTTGTGGCTTGAACGCTGAATTATATATTTAAGAGAATTATAAAGATTTGTGTCAGCTAAAATCATGTTTGATTTGAATTGATTTGATTCAACACTTCAGATGTATTATAACGCCAAATCGGAATCATATTATATGATGGTATAAAACAATATTAACATTCTTCAATAATACCATTGTTTATTTTCATTTCAAAACATCAAAATAATAGCGATACCGTGACGTAAAAATATCTCTTTGTCATCAATCAAAGAATACTTTTGTAACTATAATTCATATATTTATATATTTATACAAATTATTATATTTTTATAATGTTTATTATTTTAACAAATCTCAAAATACATAAGTGCTGACGGTCATCTTTGAATGTCAGTGAGCTCGGCGAAAATGTTCACAATTTCAAAAGTAATATGTTTCATTTCATAAAAAATGTATTCATGAAGATCTATTTTTACCCCAGTTTTCATACAACCCGTTGACTTCTGTGTATAATAACCCAGCCAAGGTAGTCTCTTACAGGAATGGGTGAGAGACACAATCCAATTTTTCAGCGATCTTACTATGTATCAATAACATAATAACATAAAACAAACCTTGGTATTCTTTCTTGTGCAACCCAAACACCCCACCCCACCCAGTTTAATAACATGATCGGTAATCAACAGTTGGTTTAAGGCCCGTGAAGAACCCGGCTGTCATTGGTCTTCAGTACCCAAGCTCGTCGTAATATGAGACTAACGGGATTGGGTTGTCAGACTCCTTGTGGCACATATTCCATTTGGGTAGATGTACTTGAATAAGTACCTTGTAAAATCATGCATCACTATATATTAGTGTTGGGAATTGGTTAAAATCTCATAATTGATGATTGGTTCATTACATCCGATCAATCATCGAAAATAATTGGTTTGCGTCATTTATCAAATGTTCCTGTTATCTTTGTTAATGCACACACACAAAATAAAGAAAAAACGTACTAATTTTGGTCTTTTGCAAATTGCACAAAATCCATTGTCAAATTTCGCATATTTAAAGGATGATTAGTATGTTAGGAACACAGATTTCCTGGATTCTTTAAGATAAATTCAATCATGACTTGGAACGAGCTTGTAGTGCTTATGAAATGTAAATTTAATGGCACAGACAAAACCAACCTTGTGTAAAATATTGTTGATGCAAACAAGTGTTCCAAAATTGGTTGTGTTCGATTATGAGAAAACACAATCGATTGCTTGGTCGTTTAGGCACTGCGACCAATCTTCGATTATTTCAATTCATCGGACCACCACTACTATATATGGACTGTTCTATCTTCCATGCCTCGAATCTCCACCTTAGAGCTCTTGTATAAGTACCTTCTAAATTTATGCATCACTGCATATGGCCTCATATATATTCCATGCCTTGATACACTTGTATAACTACAAGTCTATGTATCACCGTATATGGACTGCTATACCTTCCATGCGTTGATGTACTTGTAAAACTATGGAATATGACTTGGTATATCCTCCATGCCTCCAATCTCCCCCATGCTGTACTTGTATAAATACTTTGTAATGTATCACTGTATATGGACCATGTTGTACACAGGGCTGGTGGCCCACACCACTGTACCGATATAAAGAACTGAATAAGCGTAGATCGATGTTCATGCTTTTGATCACTGGATTGTCTGATCCAGACTCGATTATTCACAGACCGCCGCCATGTAGCTGGAATATTGCTGTGTGTGGCGTTAACCAACAGCAAGTTGATTTGATTTGTGTGTGTAAGTATGCCTGTGTCTATGTGTATCATCCTTTGTAAAATGTGCATTGAATTTTAAACGCCCAGAAATACTTTCATGAGAATTTCCGGTTTCAGAATGAAGAGGATAATATCTGTTATTATCTTGTCGGTTCTGCATCTCGTCCAAGGCAAGGTTTCAGATGATACCTTCCTTCTTGGAAAATTCCCAGATGACTTTGCGCTGGGCGTAGCTACTTCCGCCTACCAGATAGAGGGCGCCTGGAATGCAGACGGTAAGGATAAATAAACAAATAACAACACCATATGAGCTTTTTCTCATGGACAGCTTTTCATAGCTGATTCCATACATAAATGATGGACCCGGACAATATTCACATTGTACATGCTACACCATACAAATCATCATCACACAACCCCGAAACCAACCATTCTTACATCTGTTACGTTTCATAAGCCTTTGTTAACCATTAGGTAAAGGAGAGAGCATATGGGACGTGTACAGTCACGTGAAAGGGAACATCGCCGACGGTAGCAACGGTGACATCGCCGGTGACGACTACCATAAGTACAAGGAAGACGTGCAGTTGTTGCGGGAGCTGGGGGTGAGTGAAGCTGTTTGTGTTTGAACATGATCCAGTAGGGTAACCTGTTCACCTTTACGTGAACACCTGGTGTCATTACGACGTGATAGTGGTTCACAATGAAACGTCAGAATCGTAATGGTGGTAGAAGTATCATCTTCCTATGATAGTTGGGTACAGAAGTAGTAGCATCAGTAGCAACATTTTTCGTGGTAGTAGTAGTAGTAGTGGTAGCAGTAGTAGAGTAGTAGAAGTAGTAGACTACTAGTGGTAGTAGTAGTGGTAGTAGTAGTAGTAGAGTAGTAGAAAGTAGTAGACTACAAGTGGTAGTAGTAGTAGTGGTAGTAGTAGTGGTAGTAGTAGTAGTAGTAGTAGTAGCAGCAGTAATAGTAGTAGTAGTAGTGGTAGTAGTAGTAGTAGAGTAGTAGAAAGTAGTAGACTACTAGTGGTAGTAGTAGAGTAGTAGAAAGTAGTGGACTACTAGTGGTAGTAGTAGTAGTAGTAGTAGTAGTAGTAGTGTAGTAGTAGTAGTAGAAGTAGTAGACTACTAGTAGTAGTAGAAGTGGCAGTAGTAGAAGTAGCCTCAGCAGCAGCAGGAGTAGTAGCAGTAGTAGTAGAGTTGTGGTAGAAATAGTTTTTTTGAAGCCATAAGTGTACTTTGTATTTATTTATGACAAAACATGTTTAGGTTTAGTACAATCTATCGATGGAGCCATATATGTGTAAGCGAAGCCTCAAGATGTTCCAGATTGCATGAAACGTGGTGATACAGGAATATTGCTGATAGCGGCGTAAAACAGTACTCATTAGTTCGTTCATGTCATGCAGGTGTCTCATTACCGTTTCTCCATTGCGTGGACTCGTGTCATGCCTGATGGAACCAACAACAACATCAACGAGAAAGGCATCCAACACTACCTCGATGTCCTGAATGAACTGAAGAAGTACAATATCACTCCGCTGGTGACACTTTACCACTGGGACCTTCCACAAGGTTTGATGGATTACGGCGGTTGGCAAAATAGTTCCCTCATACAGCATTTCAACAACTATGCTGACCTGTGCTACAAACGGTTTGGTCATTTGGTAAGTTGCAGAGAAGTGTTTATCATTGTGCATTGCTTTCTTTACTGGGTGCGAACCCAGGATTTATTGAACGCCATGAGCAAATAAACGTCCCTGTCAACCTCATGAAATGACAGCCACTCCTTTACAATTTTTACCGTAGGTGTATATCAGACTTGAAACTTGAAACAAAGTTTGATACTATTGAAGATCCGGATCGGAATTGTTCTTCGCTCTTCACCACCCATGCTTGTCGTTTAATAATATGATTGGTAATCACCAGCTAGTTTAAGACCCGTGAAGAACCCAGCTAGAATTGGCCTTCAGTAACCCTTGTTTACTGTTTTACTAACACCATTACCCTTGAAGATCTGGGTTGAACTGATCTTCTGTAACCCATGCTTGTCGCAAGAGGCGGCTAACGGGATCGGGTGGTCAGGCTCACTGACTTGGTTGACACATGTCATCGGTTCCCAATTGTGCAGATGGATGCCTGGTCCACACTCGATTATTAACAGAGGGCGCTGCCATATCGCTGGAATATTGGTGTTAAACACCAAACGACGCGACGTTATGTATCTTCTCCTCAAAGAAATAGGGGACATTCGAAAATTACAGACAATTACAGATTTTCTGAATGCAGATTATTTCTAGTCGTATGGTCAGTAACTAACGCAAGTGAACAGCCATTTCATTATTTATTTGGGCTCGATTTTGTTTGGTCGGTTTTCTGGTTAATCTACACTTGACAATGTTCTTGGCCCTTCACGAGACCAATCAGTAACATTGTGTCTGTCCAGAAACCATTACCAAACTCTGTATATCACAGGCTGAGAGTAAACTGTCGCAATCCCATTGTTGGTGTCCCCCCAGGTGATGGTGCTGGAATATTACTAAAAGCGGTTAAACCGCCAACTCACTCACTCACAGACCGAGACTTACTGATCATCTGGCTACCAGTTTGAAACATGCCAACCTCCCTAGGCGTTGTATACGACGCATGTCCTACCTGATCACAACTTGGGCATTAAGGCAAAGTTTACAGAGCTTACGCGGATAATGAAACGCAGCAGTGCTAACCCCAATCGCACGACTTTTCACCGAGGTGCAAGAATGAACCCAGTCCTTGTACACGGAGCAATTGCAAATACAGTGGTTCAGATACTTGGGGGTAATATTTTGGATTCTCTGTCAGTCGTTTGAAAGAGCCCATCTTTCTTCTGACAATGATATTTTGGGATCCCCATTTATGTGAGGGCAGTGGGGATAGCCTAGTGGTTAAAGCGTTCGCTCGTCACGGCCCGGGTTCTATTTTCCACATAGGTACAATGCGTGAAGCACATTTCTGATGTCGACCACCGTTATATTGTTGGAATATTGCTAAAAGCGGCGTGAAACTAAATTCCCACACTCATTTACGGTCATAAGGAACTACGGTCATAAGGAAGTGCAAGTGGTGATGCACTCTCAAAACATTCATTATTATCATATCAACATTGACTCTAATATATTTAGCAATTTTTCAATCGTGAATTTAAAATGAGGATCCCTTACGTTTTTTCAGAGCATATAATAAACACAGCAGTAATAATGATTTGTTGTTAATCCTCGGCTGTCTTCAACGTGGTATGTCTACAACCCATTTGTATATTTCACGCAAGGTCAAACACTGGATCACGTTCAACGAGCCCTTCGTGGTGTCCTGGATAGGCTACGAAAATGGCGGCATGGCACCCGGCATCAAGGACAACACGATCGTATACAAGGTGGCCCACAACATCATCAAGGCCCACGTGGAGGCTTACCATACTTACAACGACACATACAGGGCCACACAGCACGGTAAGCAGCCCCGCAACATGTATATCACCAGAAAGGTTACAGCAGCATGCACAGTTACTGGCAAACATTCTGGTGTCCCCAGCTGTGAAATTGCTGGAATACTGCTAAAGCGGCGTAAAACTGAATTCACTCACTCAGTACAGTCAAACACCTTTGTGTCGAAGATTAATGGAGATTCGTCAATACTTCGAGTTATCGGAGATTGTCACTATCGAAAAATGATAAATTAAGACGGAAAATGCATTGGCCTACTTTTGACTTCGAGACTACATAGATCCACGGGTTCGACTGTATAGTGTTGTACCCTTAAGCATTTCAGATGGACCACGTTCAACGTGTATCTTCGGAAGTAACTCAAAGATCGTTCTTTTTGAACCAATTTCACTGTTATAGCGAACGTTGCTGTATCGTAATTACGGTTGTCCCGAAGTCAGTTTGATACCTGCATATCTCGGTATACTGACTGACTGAGTATGGTTTTACGCCGTTTTTAGCAATATTCCAGCAACATCACGGCGGATATCTCGGTATAAACAGAAGTGAACTTTGCATCTTATCATAAATGAAAGACTCTGAGGTGTTGTCTCAGTGTCGCCCTGCAGAAATATTAAAACTTGTATCTGTTGAATTTCTCAAATTTCTTTGTGATTTCGAGAATTGATTTTCAGGAATAACACTTACGTATTCATAAAGATGACATCTGTTGCAGGCAAGGTGGGAATGACTATTGACACTGAGTGGAAGCAGGCTAAGACTGACAGCCAGGCCGACAAAGATGCTGCCAAGCTAGTGATGGATTTCCGTCTCGGGTGGTTCGCCAACCCCATTGTGTTCGGAGACTACCCAGCCATCATGAGGACGACGGTGGACAAGAAGAGCAAGCTGCAAGGCTTCAGCACGTCCAGGTTGCCCACGTTTACTGACGATGAGAAGAAGAGAAATAAGGGTATGATTCATGCCATTTGACTTTGGGAGCTGTTGTTGTTATAGAGTGCATTCGTTTGAAGAAGGAAAATCTCTCATTTTTGGGGTACATTATGTGAATGTGCTTGAAATTGTATTGACAGTAATTACTTTTGATGGTTGCTGTGAGAGGTTTGAGTTGATTATTGTTCAACTATTATGATATAGTTGGATAATCTTTCATTTTTGCATGATACGTAACATGAATGAGCATTTTATTATTATTATTTTTGTTTAAATAATTATTTTTGGTAATTGTTGTGATGGAGTTTAGTTGAGTATCCTCAATTATTCAAGATATCAGAGCGAATGTTGGTCTTCTTGTAGCTTGAGATGTAATGAGAGAAGCATTAGCCAGTTCCCCTTACATACCTAAGAATAAGATTCGAGAAACTTCTACAATATTCTCTGCCAGATGATTCTGGAAACAGCTCCTTGTAGCACTTTCCACATCTTTCTGTCTAAATCTAGTACAGATCTATATATAACACACTACTGACATTCATTAATCATCCACATATAGTATACACGTATTATACAAAGCATTACACGTTTTTACACAATGAATATCCGTGCCACATAAGAATCTGTATCTAGATCAACTCAATATGCATGCTTGTGAGTATCAGCACAGTGGCAAACGTCTGCTGAATTGGATCAGATTCCACACTAAATTTCCACGATATTAATCTAATATGGTAACAAATGGTGTTTTAATCGCCCTCATTTCCAGGTGCCTCGGACTTCCTTGGCATCAACCACTACACAACACAGCTGATCACATCCAAACCCGACAACGACCTCACGCCCGGATACTTCAGAGACCAGGATGTTGAATTCACATTTAATCCACAATGGCCAGGGTTCGAGATTTATTTATTTTTTATTTCCAATACTTTGATTATTTTAAGTACTTTGACAGAATCTGAATGTTTCGTTTCTTGCTGTGTAACGCCGCCTATGTCAGCTTTGTTAGCAGCTCTGTGAATATTGGTGTCCGGACAAGACAATCCAGTGATTGACATTATGAGCACAGATCTACGCTATTTGAATACGATAAATTCGAACCTTGTTGGGAAAAGATGGTGGCTGGAGTTTTCTCGTCAGTTATCCCCTTTGCCTCGAGAAACCATCTCCACCGAAACGTCGTACTGGGGGAACTAAAGACTTAATATCCATAAGGCAGCATTGTCTTAACTGATACTACAGCTTATTTATTTCTGAAAGATTCGAGATTATTTTCATTTGGGATGGTGAAACCTCTCAATGGCTAATAAAAATCCGGGTTACAGGGGTTCGAAATCACTGAGTTTGGATACCGCCGCTTATTCCAACAATATTACGGCGGAGGGCACCAGAAAAGCGCTTCACACACAGCACTTATGTGGGCAACCGAACTCGGTTGTTCGGCGTGACGAGCAAACGCTTTAACCACTAGGCTACCCCTGCGCCCCTCACGTCTTGAACGTGACAACGTAACAGGTGCATCTATTTTGATTCCCACGGTCTAAGGTCAGCGTTCGAAATAATCGCCGGCCCGGAGGCCCAGTGACGGTTGTTATTATATCGGGCTGACAGTTTCAAATATTTGCAGGCCCTATTTGTGGCCTTCAGTAAATTATCTGTCTTTTTTTCAACTAGAGTCTTTCTCATAATTTGTGTTCTTTATTAACGTTTGGGAATCATCCATGATCCACCACGTTACAATAACTTACAGTTTCTCTTCCTGGTGTTTCAGTGCTTTGCGCAAAGGAATGTCAACACCAGTCTTCAACAAATAAAACCTCTTTGCGAGATAGGCGTCGCTACTTGTAGCGGAAAATAGCGATTTTGTAGAAGCAGTGTGAAACTGTGTACAGTGTAGTCTATTTTGTTTTTATTGGTTTGACTGTAACAACATTGGCCTAAGATTTCATTTAGAGCCTGTAGATTTTAAAGCCTGCAGGCGGCAGCAGACCCTGATGGCCAACTGGCAAATTGAAATATTGAAAACACTGCCCGAGGTATGTATTTATACGTCAAGGGAAGGTATAATACATTTTATTTTGAATGAATGAATTTTGTTTTAAGTAACGACCAGAAGACAGCTTGGCGAATGGTACCTTGGGGCATTCGGCGATTGCTGAACTACGTCAAAGACACCTACAACAACATCGACGTCTACATCACCGAGAACGGCAAAGGGGACTGTGGATCTATGGAAGACCAGGCCCGCATCGACTACATCAGGGACTACTGCAACAACGTCCTCAAAGGTGAGCGAGTGAGTTGAGTTGGGTTTAAAAGGGAGAAGTGGCAGAAGGGTTCATAAAGTGCATGGCCTTGACTATCAGTTGTCTATTTTAGTGGAGGTGGCAGTGGCTGGGTGGGTTAGATCTCACAGATGGAACTCGAGAATCTGTCCTTTACTGATAAGGTGTAATCTCAAATATAGTGCAGTTGCATAATGGCGTCCTACAGGTCAGCATGGCTCACAGAAATGAACACCTTAATAGGGATAATTCAGCGGAATGATTTGTTTTAGCAGGCGCTCTCCTGGAAAATTGATTAAACAGAGTCGCCAATTGCTAGGATGGTGAGGACTTATGATCTCTCACGGCCAATTCTCATTCGTAACTACTCGTGTCATTCCGGCAAGCCGGATGGCGTCTCGTACCCCTCTCGTGGCCATGTTTACGACTGGGCTCTGTCTAAGCGCAAACGGGCATGGAGATGAAAATAGTCTAGTACGATTACCAAGGAAAGATAACTCTGAATTTCCAAACATAACTCCTAGAATATCTCCTTCCCGTGGGCCAAACAGCAATACAGTCATTCCCTTTGTAAATATGTTTCAGTGTTTAAAGTTTCTGATCCTTTAGCTAAATGTTTATGATTAAATTGTGCTTTGCATAGTTTAGCGAAGTTTCAAATTTCAACGGTGCCGCCATGTTCATAGTTCGAAATGCGTTTTACTACGCGCGATTTGATTGGTTTGCCACGATTCTTGGCAATAATGGCGTACGATAGGGGTACGAGTCTTCTTGTAGGTCACGGAAAGAGGCGAGTAGTTACGAATGGGCCAATTCTATGACTGCAAAATATTCAAGATAAGGAAAAGCTGTAATATTTATATTATCACTAACAAAGCACTATCGAGGGGCTGCAGGAGACTCGTACTCCTCTTCGTGGCATTGTTCTCTACCGGCCTTGTCTAAGCACAAACAGACACGGATATGAAAATATAGTCTTTGACTTTTTCCAAGGAGAGATAACTCTGAATTTCCAAACATTCCTACTCCTAGAAATGTATAATACAACAGGAAAGTCACTTTAAGTAAATTTTCTTACGTCGTTAACAAATATCAGTAACAAGAAAATTTTATAATCACGGAAATATCAATGAAAATTTATAATCGCAAAGGAACTATTTGACCTCACTAACATTTTACTACGCGCGATTTATTTGGTTTGCCACGATCCTTGGCAATAATGGCGTACAATACAGGTACGAGTCTTCTTAAATAGGCGAGTAGTTACGAATGCCACACACACCACATAAAATTTACATATGACGTCACTAAAATAATGAAAGTTTGTTTAAATCGGCTATAAATCACTCTCACACATTACCTCCCTTTTATCAGCGATCGATGACGGGGTCCACGTCAAGGGTTATTTTGTGTGGACGCTGATAGACACGTTTGAATGGAGTGGAGGCTACCAGACCAAGATGGGCTTCTACTACGTGGACTTCAGCCGCCCAGACAGACCGAGGTACCCCCGGAGGTCAGTGAAGCTGTACCAGATGATAAACAAGGAGAGGGGGTTCACCAAGGACATCCAGAACTACAGAGCATGTACGATGATCGTTTTGTTTCTTTGTTTTCTGTATAAAATTTATATTGACAACCAGCTTTTATATCTATTCTATGCGTGTCCTAGTCTTGTAAGATTATGAAATTCGCTATGAAGAGGTGCGTCTCATGGGTTACCCCAAGAAATACAGAACAACAGAGCATGTACGAGGATGCGTTTTAATAATATATTTTGTATTCTGAACTATTCATAACCATGACTTTAGCATTTAATCCACGAGACACTTATTCCTGTATGCTTCTTAAATTTGCTGTGAAGGGTTGCGTCCCCTGGCACGCCGGAACAATATGTTTGTGGTTTTGAATCCAGGTTCGCCTGGGTTATCTTTCTTGTTTTGTCAGTGCAATACGGGGTCACTTCCACATACATATTCACAATTTTATTATATTTATTTAACCAGATCCAGCTGACCGAGACACATTTGTCTATGACCACTTCCCTGACAACTTCCTGTGGGGCGTCTCTACATCTTCTTACCAAATAGAGGGAGGCTGGAATGAAGACGGTAGTGTATTTTATCTTATTTGCTCGGGTAGGTGGGGTAGTGGTTACATCGTTCGCTCGTAAGGAAATGAACCTGGGTTAGTTTCCACACATGACCACTATGTGTGAAGCGCCTTGAGCATGTACTGGTTGCGTGAATGTGTGCGCTATATACATATCCTATGAGTGAGTGAGTGAGTTATTATTTAACGTCACATCGGCAATATTTCAGCCATATCGTGACGAATACAATTTATACAATAAAAAGTGAAATGAGAACATTTGACATTGAATATGGAATATATGTACGTTATAAAAACCTGTCGACGAAGGACAGTAAAACAACTAGAATATCACAATTACAACTAAAGCTAGTCTGGAGAGTTAAAACTGATAGCACTATTTGGACAATACAATATAAAAACTGGCTATAGATCGCAAACACCAGAAGGTAGATCACCATACCAGGGACACATATCCTATGATGATGATGATGATGATGATGATGATGATGAAGAAGAAGAAGCTCATTTCTTGTGTCTCCCGCGTGAATCATACTCACTTACTCAATCACTTATTTGTTTATCTTGATACCATATCAGCTTCAGGTAAATAAAAGTAGATGTACACACATGAAGTGTAAAATGTTGCGTTTGGTTTTAGGAAAGGGGGAGAGTATATGGGACAGATTCGTGCACATCAAAGGCAACATTGCCAATGACGATACTGGAGACGTTGCCTGCGACAGCTACCACAAATATAAAGATGACGTTCGCATGCTGAAAGAGTTAGGTGTAAGTATTAGCGTCACACTTTCAGTGACCTTGGAATAATATATAACAAGAGATTCCGCGTATTTGATTGGCTCAACAACATTTTATTCGTTTGTTTCCGTAACACACACCACGCCCACTACCAGACCTCTGTTTGCTGACGGTTTGATAACACAATGAGCGGGTGATTCATTAATCATTAATTTCGTATAGCTGTCAAGATTGTCATATTTCGTGTTGATTAAATGAGCAGCCGGTTAGGTCATTACTGCTGATGTTTATATCTATGAGAATTCAAAGTGTGTTTGCATGTATGGAGATATGAACGCCAATACACTACGTCGTGCCTCCTAGTTCACGCTTATACTTCCTTAAACGAAAAATCATTTTATACTCAGTTCTTAAGTGAAGAGGCTACTAACGGGATCGGGTGGTCAGGCTCGCTGATCTGGTTGACACATGTCATCGTATCCCAGTTGCGTAGATCGATGCTCATGCTGTTGATCACTGGATTAATGTCTGGTCCAGACTCGATTATTTACAGACCGCCGCCATATAGCTGGAATATTGCTGTGTGCGACGTTAAACAACAAACAACAACAATTCTTAAATGATCGTAATTACGTCCACGTAACTCTCAGTGATGTCGAGCATTGCTCAACGAGGTGTGTGAAGTATGTAGACACAACGCAGGAGTTTATCAATTGATAGTAATTGCGGCCTCGACAACATACGAGTCATTACGTTCTATTTGACTGGAGCGAGTGAGTGTTTACCGCCAAACTGCAAGTTTCCAGTATTTCCAATTCTGCACTATAGTCTGTTTGCAGTGAAAACGTACCGGTGAATTTCACTTTAAACAAAAATGTAAATCGAATACAGTGAAATTAAGATTGCGAATCCTCATAATTCTACCTTGCCAATTTAAAAATTAAATCTTAGATTTTTATTCAACTTAGGAAAAAAGTTGTTTAACAAACGATCATTGTTTCAAATCGCTTATATTGGTTTGTATTACAAGGGGGTAAGCGCAGTAGTTGGAACAGTGAAACAAATGCACGTGCGGTACGTGATGAGCGTTAACTTAGACCAACCCTCCTTGTTCTCGGTGTTTCATTTAATGTGCATACCCCCTTGTAATACAAACCAATAATACCGATTTGAAACTATGATCGTATGTTAAACAACTTTTATCCTAAGTTGAATAAAAATCTGAGATTTAAATTTTGAAATGGCAAGAGTAAAATTTATGAGGTATTCGCAATCTTAATTTCACTGATATTATGGCTGATTTACAGCGGATATAGTTTAAATCTGAAATTGCCAACTACGTTTGTCACAGCAAGGCCAAAGTGTACTACGATGACATCGCGCAGTAGTCATTACGTGGAGCTGTGACGGGGTTGTAGCCTAGTGATTAAAGCGTTCGCTCGTCACGTCGAAGACACGGGTTCGATTCTCACATTTGCACAATGTGTGAAGCCTATTTCTGGTATCCACCGAAATGATATTGCTGGAAAATTGCTAAAAGGGGCGTGAAACTAAATTCACTCACTCACTAGAATGAGTAACTTTTTAGCGCCAGTCGTGAAGATTCCCAACATATATCAGAGTACAGTACACTACCGTTATAAGAAACTCAAAGGTACCGTTAACTTTCTTAGTTTAAAAATAACCGTAGTTCGTTATACGAATATACAGCTCGACACCGTGACCACAAAGATAGTCCGTTCTATCCGCCAGTTCGTTATAAACGTCGTTACCTGTATGTAAATATTCACGTGTGGACTAGGAAAGCAGTGACTGAAAGAATGAGCAATAATTCTTTCCATCGTAGTACTGTATGTCACCGAATGAGCCGTGTCACCGAAAAGTACTATCCGATCGACGCTGTAGACGGCTGCATAAGCCACTGAGGACATTTTCGGACCGAAATATTCTTAGGGGGATAACCCAGATATCCTTAAAGACGACTCTTTTGAATTAACAGACGGGACACGCCTTTTTGTCAGCAGTCTAAGTATACTTAGGCTCAGTATTATTCGTTACACTGCTATACTGAGTCTATCAAACCCTAGTAGAAGGTCGCGTCAGCTAACCTTTTGGCCTGACCAATCAGAACACAGCTTACCAAATCGCAAAAGTTAACATTCGCACATACCGTTTGAACCTTTACCTTAAAAACTCGAACGATTCCATTCGTGACCAACTCGTGTTATTCCGGGACATGCCGAGGTTACGGAAAGAGGCGAGTTGTGACGAATGGAACGATTCCGAATGCTATTTTTCGCACGATCGCTTCCGAGTGGTACACATGGAGGACGCAATGATTAAACAATCGCTGAAAATAGCGTTTTTGTCAATATTCAAGGATGGCAACTTGCGGAAGTATAAGCTAATAGTAACCATGTCATTACAAACCCCCCTAAGCATATACTGCAAGTCAAATATCTGTGTTTTATGTGGACTTTCGTTTGTTGATAAATCAGTGTCACCAGGGATACTCTACAACATATAGTCTCCCTGGTGTCACCGATCAGGGAATTTTTTTTCCAAAAACCCTTTTGTAAGTCGTTGTCTGATTGGATAAATCCGTTCGGACGTCTCGAGTTTGATTGGACGATCATAGGTCGCTCAAAGGTTAGCTGACCCGACCTTCAACTAGGGTTTGTTAGATTCAGTATAGCAGTGTAACCAATACTGAGTCTAACTTTACTTAGACTGTTTTGTCAGGTTTTGCTCATGAAGATGAAAATCATGTTGAACTCCTAAAAAAAATATTGTTTCTTGACACTCAGTCACATAAAACCAGCCAGGGCTTCCAATTAACTGCATTCAGTGCATCATTGCAAGATTGACGTTGTCATAGTGAAATGAAACTTTACATTACCATAACCAGGGCTCCAGTGAAGGGCCGTATCGGCGTATGTACGGATAGAAAAATATGCACGATACGGAAGGAAATGATTAGAAAACGTAGCAGATACGCACCACGACAATGGTGTACGGGCCCAGAATCATTTACAGACGTATTTATCTGAAAAAAGTTCTGTTTTATTTTTTTATTGACCTGTTTTACACAAGACTAGCAATGTTGTGGTGCATATATGAAACGAAACACAAGATTACTGATACTCCATTAAATTCCATTCAGTACTCTAAATGTACTCTTAAGTTTAGTACTCTAAATGTACTGTAACTTTTTTCCGTACTCCTGTATTGAAAAAATCAGGAGTATGTACTCCTCATGTTGAACAATTATCTGGAGCCCTGCATAACAGACTGAAATTTTGTTGTTTATTCTCTGTTACAGGTGAATTTTTACCGGTTTTCTATTTCATGGAGTCGAATTTTGCCTGACGGGACACCAAAATCATTAAACAGCAAAGGCCTTGCGTACTACGACAACCTTATTAATGAGCTCTTGGCCAACAACATCATGCCATTTGTTACTCTCTACCACTGGGACCTGCCACAAGCACTCCAGGACAAGGGTGGCTGGATGAACGAGGCTAGCGTTGATTGGTTCACTGAGTACAGCCGGGTCATGTTCCACTACTTCGGGGACAAGGTACGTATCAAATTTCATCCGGGGTCTCAGGCGGATGCCCTATTCAGAGTTGTGTCCCTTAGACGATCCGGAAACGGTGACTGTGGGGTTCGAACTAAAGATTAACCCCGATTGTGCTTCTAGGTTGGTCAGCACCATGCCAACGTCAGTTTTAGCAAATTGTATGTCTTAGACCTGATCAGTTCGGACATCCCTCCCACATGACGCTGAAACTAATATAACTGAAATACTGTTACAAGAAGCTGTAGATCAGTGAAGATCCGGGTTAGAATTGGTCTTCAGCAACCCATGCTTGTCGTAAGAGGCGACCTACAGGACCCCGTGGTCAGACTCGCTGACTTAGTTTTGACACATGTCAAAAAAAACATTTTTAAAAAAATGTCAACGTATCCCAGTTGCGTAGATCAATGCACATGATGCTGATCACTGATCACTTTACAGACCGCCACCATATAGCTGGGATATTGCTGAGTGCGGCGTACAACAACATACAAACATAGTAAAAATTAAGTACTACAGTTCGCTCTACCACCATGTGTAGTGTAATAAAGCAGACTTTCGCCCTGAACTATTATAGTTAAAGTACGAGGACACTTGCCAAAGATGCCAAATTTAATACTTTCTAAGGATAATTACGATTAATTTAAGAATCCTCGCACAGGGCTAACTGGCGCGCTGTTCTATTGATGTGTCTGCCCCCCTACGTTAAGACGAACGTTACCAGAAAAAAACAAATGATAACAGTTTGATGACGGTTTACGTTCGGATTAAATATCTTCTCTGAATTATTTTAATTGCATCTGTCATTAACGTAAACCATATGGGGCAATATGAACGTCGCATTTCTACTACCAACATAAGTTTAGATCAGTACATCCAGATGAAGCTGAGTAGTCAAGCGACATTCCACGATTGCATTGTGGGAATGTAAACATTGCGAACGTTACCGTGTCGCTGAAAACTTGTGAGACGAATTGTAACAGTAGTCGAGTAGTTTACTGTAGGAGGCCGTACGAGGTGATGACAACTGAGGATGCATGATGACAACTAACATGACGTCGTCGCTTACATTGTGACGTCATGTAAAATGGTTCGATTACGAGGGGGCACACTAGAATGGCGCAGTGACGGGATAACGTCTTTTAATTGTTACGTCATCAAAAAACTATACCTTTATTGTCTGAATATGTTGGTTTTTTTTCGATTGTTCTAACCGCTAGGCATCTTAGAATAGTCAGATACATGTTGCTGCAAAAATGCAGTAACTTTGAAGTCCATTTCCTTACCAAAAACCTCATCCCATGACGCCGTGAATTAATTAAGAATATGAAATCATGTCGGAAGTATTATTAAAGTACCTCGTCCATCTGGGGCGGTGGGGTAGCCTAGTTGTTAAAGCGTTGGCTCGTCACGCCGAAGATCCGGGTTCGATTCCCCACATGGGTACTATGTGTTAAGCCCATTTCTGGTGTCCCCCGCCGTGATATTGCTGGAATATTGCTAAAAGCGGCGTCAAACCAAACTCACTCACTCACTCTCGTCCATCTGCCCGCGTTGTGTATATATATATATAATATTTTCACAAATTGTTCTGCTGAACGCTCGGCTATACAGGTGAAGCACTGGATCACGTTTAATGAAGTCTACTCCATCTCCTGGCTGGGGGATGGCCTGGGGATATTTGCTCCTGGTATCAAGGATCCCGGTGTTGCAGTGTACCAGGTGGCCCACAACATCATCAAGGCTCACGTGAAGACCTACAGGTTGTATGACAAGGTCTTCAGACCAAGACAGCATGGTGAGTGTTTGCTTATGTGTGTGTATTTTTAAATATTTCTTTGGTCTTATAACGGATACCTCAACAGCATTCCAGTTATTTCACAGAGCTATGTAAACAGTCGAGTCACTGATTGATATCATGAGCACCAAATCCACGCAATTGGGATACGATGACGTGCAAGCAGACAAGTCACCCAGCGTTGCCACCCTGCCCATTTAGTTACTTTTTACCATGTTGTTCGAGACATATAAGTATCCGGAATGAGACAAGCATAGGTGTTTGGGGACAGCGGGGGAAATACAAAGACTGACGATATATATATATATATATATATATACGCACAAAATGTCCAAAATAGTACAGGTGTTCAGTCATAAATATTACATAGATAAATAAAAACAGAATGCCTTTTTCTCCAACATGTTTCGTTCTTTACTCTTCTGATGGGGTAGCCTAGTGGTTAAAGCGTTCGCTCGTCTCACCGAAGACCCGGGTTCGATTCCCTATATGGGTACAATATGTGAAGCTCATTTCTGGTGTCCCCCGCCATGATTTGGCTGGAATATTGCCAAAATCGGTGTTGACCTAAACTCACTCACTCACTACATCCGAACACCCATCACATGCATGAACGCCGGGCAAATTGTTTGGTTCCATTATTACCAATTCTGCACTGGGTCAGCTCCTCGTTGTCTCATAATCAATGGATATTGGTGAATCTTCATAAATACCAGTTACTACCAGTTATACAGAACAACGCCCATACATGGCAAAAGTGTCATTCCAAGATAAAGGTTAATCGTGATGTTCCCGGTTGCTTAGCAGCCCTGCGCCAATGCTTTCGTTTTGTGTACCTGGGACTTTTGATAGTTGATATATTGCACGACCCCAGACGCTCCATGCTGATGCCCTTATCTTCAAGGGTCCATGGCTATTGAGGGAACATGTGTCCACAGGTGGTCCTAATAGGTGATTACGTGGACAGGGCGGTCGGTGGGCTCGGTTATCGTACTCAGGCGAACCCCTGAAGGTCCGCTTAGAATTCCTCTTCAGCCACCCATGCTCGTTGTAAGAGACGACTAACGATATCGGGTGGTCAGGGTCGATGACTTAGTTAATACATGTCATCGTATCCCAGTTGCGTAGATCTATGCTCATGTTGTTCATCCAGATTATTTTACAGAACATTCATGAGTGCTGCGTTACACAATATCGTCATCATTATATCAATCACTGGATTGTCTGGTCCAGATTCGGATATATACAGATCAGACAGCTTATGTATCGCTCACTGCGGCGTTAAGCAAACAAAATAAAATAACTAGAGTTATATTTCCGCAGATATAGCTATTGTTCTTTGAGTCAAAACATATCTTCAGATCTCTATTCATGTAAACTGCGTCGCTGTACTTCATTATCCAGGTTTTGTTGGTATTTCGCTGGACATTGAGTGGAAGGAGCCTTTGACCTCAAGCTCGGCTGATTTGGAGGCCTCACACAGGGCTTTTCAGTTCAAACTGGGCTGGTTGGCTAACGCCATCTTTGGCAACGGCGACTACCCGGAAGTGATGAAGCGCTACATCGACCGCCGATCTCGCCAGGAGGGGCGTAGACATTCCCGACTTCCGGTCTTCAGTGCTGAGGAGAAGAAAAACAACAAAGGTAGATATGACAAAGAGAGGAACAGCCAGGTGTACGTGAAGCACGTGCACAAGTACCGACAAGGTTATTGATTCATCGCCTGTGCAGTGCCGTCTCCATCTTTTCTCGCACACTTGGTTGTTCCTCGCTTCCCCTCCCTCGTAACAAATAGTGAACTGTGTAAATATTTTAATGATAGTTTGTTAAACAACTTTTTTATTTTTAGAACCTACATTATGCAAAAACCTCACAGAGTTGGTCTGATGATTTGATTATGATCAGCATTTCAATGAGTATTGTATGTTTATTACTTTTCAAGTTAGATTGCAACTCATCGGTCCGCTATGGAGCCAAACGGACTATAGTCCAGACTAATGTCGATTTTGAAAGCAACTGAGATACTGTTAAGGAGTTTCAACATCTTTTCACAAGTGTCGTCTTTTAATCAGCTAAATGTCCTACAGAAAATAGTACCCACACGCACGCACGCGAACACACACACGTGCGTGTATACAATACTATTAGAACCCATTCCAGTTCACCCCACCTCTCATATATCAAAGTTCGCTCACCCTCATCAGAGAGGGGGCGGTGGGGTAGCCTAGTGGTTAAAGCGTTCGCGCGTCACGCCAGAAGACCCGGGTTCGATTTCCCACATGGGTACAATGTGTTAAGGCCAACTCTGGTTTCCCCTGCTATGATATTGCTGAGGTATTGCTAAAAGCGGCACAAAGCCCAAATCACTCTCTCATGGGCGAGATGCATCTGAGACTTGTACCCTACCGGTCTTCTCATTACCCACTATTTATCTCTACGATCTGAAGTCGGATACCACATCGTCTGTTTGCCATACCGTGACAGGGTCCTACGACTTCATGGGTATCAACCACTACACCACCGACCTGATATCCAACAACCCATCTCCCAGCACCACAGCCGACTACGGGGAGGATCCGGAAGTAGAGTTCAGGAAGGACATGTGCTGGCCCAAGTAAGTGAATATATAACAAAGGAGAGACGCACGTTTCAGTGGACAGTCTAACTGCATCCCTGGGTTATTCAGCTTTTACTTGACAAATCATGTTGAAGACGTTATACTAATTGAATACTTTCATGTTGCTTCTTGAGGTGCTTTTGTATTTTTAAGAGTGACAATAGTGTTACCTTATTCCTCACAAGGTCGGTGGCAGTGCCAGAGAGTAATGCGGTATTGTTCTGTTTTCTGTAGAACGACTGCTGATTGGCTGAGAATTAATCCATGGGGCATCAGGAACGTGCTGAAATTCGTCAAGAATTACTATGGCGACTTTCCCATCTTCATCACTGAGAGTGGCTCTGCCGACACTGGCGGCTTGGTGGACGACCAGAGGATCCAGTACTACAAGTCCTACACCAACGAAATCCTCAAAGGTAAGGCTGTTCTCCTTGGTGCTAAAGCTGGTGAACGCTTATACACAACCTTTAGTTAAAGAAAACTATCGAGCTATACACAAAAGCTGGATGACGTAAAGTAACACCTGACATAAATAGGAATATTTCTATTGTAACTTCTTGTATGGACTTATGTCATAAATACCCAGGACAATAGAAATAGCAAAGTCATTGGGACCTCGTTGTTGGATTCATTGTTGGTTGGTAATACTTCATCTCGGCATTGTTACAAGCTCATTGTAAATCTGTAAAACGTCATCTGAGCATTGTTACAAGCTCATTGTAAGTCTGTAAAACTTTATCTCAGCATTGTTACCAAGTTATTAGTAAGTCTGTTAAACATTATCTGAGCACCGTTTCTTAGTTCATAGTAAGTCGGTTCAACTTCATCTGAGCATTGCTACCAAGTTCATAATAAGTGTGTTACACTTCATTTTAGCATTGTTACCAAGTTCATTGTACGTTTGTAAAACCTAATCCTAGCAAAGTTACCAAGTTCATTGTAAGTCTGTAAAACCTAATCCCAGCAAAGTTACCAAGTTCATTGTAAGTCTGTAAAAACTAAAACCAGCAAAGTTACCAAGTTCATTGTAAGTCTGTAAAACCTAATCCCAGCAAAGTTACCAAGTTCATTGTAAGTCTGTAAAACCTAATCCCAGCAAAGTTACCAAGTACATTACCAGTCTGTATAATCTAATCCCCGCAAAGTTACCAAGTTCATTGTAAGTCTGTAAAACCTAATCCCAGCAAAGTTACCAAGTTCATTGTAAGTCTGTAAAACCTAATCCCAGCAAAGTTACCAAGTACATTGTAAGTCTGTAATACTTCTTCATCTAAGCAGTGTTGTTATATTTCATCTGATCGCTATGTTTACGGTGTTTTAGTACACGGTAAATATGATGGATAAGGGGCATCAATAGAAATAGGAAGCCAATACACAGTAACATTTCTCATCCCTTCCAGCCATCCTGTGGGACAAGGTAAATGTCGCTGGATACACGGCCTGGGCGTTGATGGACAACTTCGAGTGGGCCAGCGGATACACTCAAAAGTTCGGTATATATTCAGTAAACTTTACGGACCCGGCAAGAACCCGGACGCCGAAGAAATCAGCATCATACATTAAGAACCTGATCAAGGAAAACGGTTATGTAAAGAACTGAAAACTTTCAATAAATCAATTTCCCTCTGTATGAAACAAGAATAAAGAAACAAAAATAAATATTTACATGGTATAAAGTAACCCGGACACTGCCTGATGCAATCGTCTTGGTTAACAAATATCGCCTTTGGCCATTTAATCAGAAATACTCATTAACATCTCGTAAGTATAGTGGTGTTCAACTGTTAAACCCAGTGTGACACTTTGACCTCAGATAACGCGACCACTAGGCACGCAAGATGGTCTGCAAAATATAGGGTCTTGGGCCCAAACGCAACTGTTTGGCTCCCCATTTTGGAGAACAAGAGTTGCATCATGAAGCACAACCTGAAACCTTTTCTATCTTAAACATAGGTTTTTGACAAGTAAGATCAAACAGATGTTTGAAAATACGAAAGCGGGGATAAAAATCAAATAATTTATATATTATTATTATTATTATTTGTTTGTTGTTAAACGCTGCAGTCAACAATATTCCAGCTGAATGGCAGCGGTCTGTAAATATTCGAGTCTGGACCAGACATTCCAGTGATCAGCAGCATGACCTTCGATCTACGCAGTTGGGAACCGATGACATGTGTCAACCAAGTCAGCGAGCCTGACCACACGATCCCGTTATTTGTCTCTTACAAGCATGAGTTGGTGAAGACCAATTCTAACCCGGGTCTTCACGGCTTTATTTATTATGACCTTAGCCAGGTTTCCAATGCACGTGCTTGTAATACAGTAAAATATATGTTTCATCATATAATGAGAAATGTATTTACACGTATGTCTGAACTCAATACAAACTGAAATCAGAAGAAATATCGTTCCATAACAACAAAGTCAGAACGAATGAATATCCTCAGAAATATACCCGAGAGAACCAGAGAGGCGCCCGTAAAGTGTCAATGTCTCGTCAGTGTATATCTCTATACTTTCAGATATCAGTTTCCGACGTATTGCAAATATTTATCAGAAACAGTATGAATATACGTCTTCGAATGGCATTTTGAAGTGATTCACATGCCAGGGAAACTTTATGGATGTCAGCTTCCATAATGTCAACTATAAGGAACACATCGTCTCTGAATATATTCTTACTCCTTCAACAGGTTTATGGTTGGCAAGTTATGCATTTTGAGGAAGACAACGGTTCCAAGTGTATTCTTACTCCGTCATCGCATGATGAAGGATTATATTCCGAAACTTTGTGTTCCTTAATTCAAAGATGTCAACATCCATGAATTTTCTCTTTTGATATGAGCTCTCGAGTATAGTCATCATTAATTTTATTCATTTATTAAGTTTTTATGAAAAAAATACTAATAGTCCATTTATCGTGCGCATTGCTCCATGCACAATGCATGCTCGAAGCGTCCAATCTATCTGATTATTACCCCGGATAACCCGCTCAGCTGCCTGTTAGGCGCTAGAAGGTTATGGTTATGACTGTATCCCACCGGGTACCCATTTTCTGCAAGGTAAACAGAGGCAATTTTGAACAAACTCACTTGCCTAAGGTGAGACCACATGTAGCAAATGTTCTTTGTTGTGGGACAGGACTGAAGTCCTAGAAACTGTCAGGAGTCAAGCTGCCAAACAAGGTCACCCATCCAAAGACTCTCCGCGCCCAACTTTCCTTAACTTCACCTGATTTGTGACCTGAGCTCTATGCACAGGACCACATGCCACCACAAAGTTTTTCTTGGTTTCCATTTTGTAAAGTATCTCTGCCACTATATACATCCCAATACCGGTCACCAACAGGGCAAACATGGTGTACAGTTTGACATAAACACATAAGATGCTGCTCAGAGCGAACGTTAACGTCGAGCCAAGGGATATCCAAGTGTGGACGTTAGCAAATGCCGGTTCCTTCTTGTCTGGGAAGTACAGAGCAACCAATGCTGAAAATAGAAATGGTGCAATACAGTGGAAATCCGCTTATCCAGACACCTGGACAATTTACTTGTTTGCTTTTTCGTTCGTTCGTTCGTTCGCTAATTCGTTTGTTTGTTTAGCAATATTCAAACTATATGGCGGCTGTCGGACAATATGTACGGGTGACGACATATATACTGCATAAAATGATACAACTTTCGGATAACCCGGATAATCCGCACAGCTAATTTCAATTACCAACGTAATAATTACATACTATTGTATCCCACTTACTTGACCGCGATCACGCTAGACAATGTTTGTGTTGTAATTCATCACCCATCACCACAAGCGGGTATCATGTGATCTCAGAGCTTATTTAATGTGTGTGTGAGTGTGTGTGTGTGTGTGTGTGTGTGTGTAATGTGTGTGTGTGTGTGTGTGTGTGTGTGTGTGTGTGTGTGTTTAGCCAAGTGGGTAAAGCGTTGGCTCGTCACGCCGAAGACCCGGGTTCGATTCCCCACATGGGTACAATGTGTGAAGCCCATTTCTGGTGTCCCCGCCGTGATGTTGCTGGAATATTGCTAAAAGCGGCGTAAAACCAAACTCGCTCGCTATTTAATCCGGTCATTTCACGCACTTTAACTTTATTTCTTTTCACCGGTACATGTTTTACAATAAATGGATAGTTCATAGTTAACGTTCAATACACATAGTATCTAATCAGTAGCTGATAGTTATGGCTTTTACAAGAGATCTATTGTTCAGGTAAATAGGCAATGACATATTGACCAATATATCATGAACTTGGTGTAATCACAAGTTAAGGATGAGATATATCTGTCTATATGGTATGCATTGGTTATACCTCTTTGGATATATTGTAGATGTGGTGGTCGTTTCGATAGTTTGCATTTATAAATATTGGATTTAGTTGTATTTTTGATCAGATTTACAGCATTTCGCTTTTCATAAAAGCCAAATAGGATATGTTGTTTGGTGAAATCTAGTTTCATTCGATCTAATCTTCCTGTTCTCTCCAGATATGGCTAACTTTTGTGCATTCGTAAAAGAGGTGTGTTATTGATTCAATGTCAGTTTTGCATAATTGACATTTATTATTGTTCGTATATTTCATTTTATGTAGAAGGTCGTTCGTGGATATTATTCTGTAAATGATGCTGTGTTGAAACCATTGTAGTTTGCTGTTTGCATGTGTGCAGAAGGGTATATAATGTATGGTTTTCCATTCTTGTTCTGTCAGGGTACATCTGAGATTGTTCTCCCATTTCCGAATGTGTTCACTTGTCTTAATGTCAAAAAGGTTTGTGTTTAACGTCTCGTAGAATATTCTACAGCCGTTTTTCGTTTCACATACATCTTTGATGAAATATGGCAGAATTGGTGTTTGGAGTTTTGATTTAAGTTTAATGCGTTTGCTTTTAACATAAGACTCAACTGATTTGATTATGCCATGATATTCAAGGAAGATTGTTTTTATCTGATATTTCCTCTGAAGGGAAGAATGGTTGAGATAATTTCCGTCATTATCAACTAGGTCATTAATTAGTGGATACCTTTATCAGAGTAGTGTTTATAGAAAAAGGTGCTTCCTCCTATTCTAATGTTCTTTTTGTGTCATACGGTTTGGGAAAGGATATCGTGTTCGTTTTTGGCATTTTCACCTTTAGAGTTTAGGTATAATAACTCCCAGCATTTCAGGACATTCCTCCAGGAGTTTGTTCCTCGATTTGTTAGTTTACATGTGAGGTTATCTTCATTATTTATGAGGTGGTCGAGAGATGATCGCGTGGTATTGATAAGAAATAATTCAAGGGTTTTTTAATTAGATCATGCGTTCAATAGTCGCCTAATCCATGATATTTTTTTAGAAGATATTATCTGCCTTATGTTTGGAGATCGTGGTCCTCCTTCATCATATGATTTTTCTACTAATTTCATCGGGTTTGTTTTTCCATATAAATCCGAAGCAGAGTGATTCGATTTCTTTGATACTAGTTTATCGTTAGGATCTGGAAGCGACGCGAATAGATGGTTGAGTTTTGGAAAGATTAAGCTTTATGATGTAGAATTTCTTCCTAATGGAGTTAGATCACGTTGCAACCATATATTCATGATTGACTTAATGCCTTTGGGGGCCGGTGGGGTAGCCTAGTGGTTAAAGCGTGGGCTAGTCACGCCGAAGACCTGGGTTCGAATCCCCACATGGGTACAATGTGTGAAGCCCATTTCTGGTGTCCCCCGCCGTGATGTTGCTGGAATATTGCTAAAAGCGGTGTAAAACCAAACTCAGTCAGTCAGTAATGCCTTTTAGTTTGTCCTTATAGATTTTTTCGACCAGGTTGTGTGTAAAGGTGATGCCTAAAAGGGTGAACATTTTCTTTTCCCAGTCTAATTTCCCTTGTTGACATATTATTGCATCTGATGAGCGTTGTGAGCCTTTTCAAAATAGTTGTGTTTTACTCCTGATTATTTTAAGGCCTGAGAAAGCTGCGTACATATCTAGTGTGCTTAGCGCACTCTGGCTTAATTTCCATTTAGAATCAGCGTTGTATCGTCAGCAAACTGTGATATGAGGTATTCTGTGTTTTCGATTTGTATTCCTTTATTTCAAGCACTTCTTATAAATATATTCATAGTATATCTACACGCATGTTTTAGTCAATAGACTTCCCTTTCATCTATAAGAAAGAAAATAAGTAAAAATCAGTAAGACTGTTATATTGATTATTGACCTACTATCTACAGTTGGGTAGTGTAAACTGAATACTTACCTATTACTTGTGGCAGGAAAATACTATCAGCTATTGCCCAGCCAAGAGGCAACAGGATTATATATTTTGTATCCGTCTCGTTTGGCGTCCAGAGATAGAGTGTGGTAAAGACAGCAGCATGTATCAGCGCCGCAGTCGCAAATAACACATGGCGTCCAGTGTACTTAGCTACTCGACTTGACACGATGGTTCCAAATGAATTTACAGCCCCGTAGGCCGCCATGACAAAGCCTACCATGTGGATCCCAATGGGGCAGCTGATGTACGACTGTAATAATTGACACGTAATATGCATTGGCATGTAGAGTATGTTACTGAAATTCCAATTGGCTAAAGAAAACAATGCACCGAACATTAATATTGGCATGTAATATGTAACAGTTAGTGAATTTCAGTTAACCCATTGTACACTTATCACCGTCAGATGAAAACAATGCAATAATAATCGACATCGACATGTCACACAAAAAACCTGCACAAAATGAAATATATGTTGGAATATGTGCACCCATACATACGTAAACACAGTGATTATAAAATTGAATTCAACACATATACATGTGCTACCCTTTGTGATATCAGTAGTTTCGGCTATTGCACGTGCAACACATTTGTTCATGTGCATGTCAATAAAGTTTTGTTGACTTGGGAAGCTTAATTGTTGAATGTTCTGTCGTTCATAATTTAAACGCTAATTAATTGCACACCATACCACGACTCGCGACTGCACAATGTCATGGCACTATTG